CAGAATTGTTAATAAAATCTCTGACATAAAGTGTAATTAACTTTAATTTGGAAAAGGGAGTCTCCACTTTCTAAAAAACATCTGAACTTCGAAAAATATATCAATGGATAAGAATAAAAATAGCAGGTCAGTCGTGACTAACTAAGTTTAGAAAAAACTCAAAATTTAAGTGAGGATGCAGTCAATAATCACCAGAAAGGCTAATAAAACTACTTTTTCAAATTTGTCAAGCTTTCGAAAATTTTATTCCCATCATCAGGAGAGTATATAACTGAGCCAATTAGCAAAAAAACATCCTCTGTACACAAAGCCTTCAAACTAGCATCATAATGACGTATCAATCACTTAGTGACAGCGTATCAGTCACTGTTTGATCGAGCTCGAAACAACAATGTAGAAATTAGTTTAGTAAATTTTAATTTTTTTTTTGTTTAAAGAAAAGTAATGTCGTTGTATATGTATTTTATAATTTTATAAAAAAAATGTCCTTATATTCCAATGTCATATAATGCTAGTTTTAAGGCCTTTTTGTGCAGAGGATGTTTTTTTGCTAATTGACTCAGTCAAACTGTCCTGATGATGGGAATAAAATTCTCTAAAGCTTGACAAATTTGAAAAAGTAGTTTTATTAGCCTGTGTGGTGATTATTGACTGCATCGTCACTTAAATTTTAAGTTTTTTCAATGGATAATATATAAATGCTCAAAAAGTATTTTTGTCCGTCTCCTCAAGAAGCTACCGCTTCTCCAATTTGGATAATTGTTTTTAAATGAAAGGTTTATATCATCGGTTGGAATATGAAGCATTTTTATGCCGTATGTTCGAAAAAAGATCTATGATAATTTTGGCGAGGCCAATCTCTAGATGTTATTTAGTTAAAATTTACGTAAAACTTCAAAAATTAACACAAATTATAGGAAGATTAAAATAAAATAGACCGATTCCAGACACATGAATCTGTTTCCATTTTTTTTTCTAGAATTTTAAACTACCTACACCATTTCAAAATAATTTTTATTCAATACAATAATAAATTACAACCTTTTTAAGGCCAGCTGGCAGTAAGCGTCATTAAAAAATAAAGAAATGACCCCATCTTTTTATGATATTTTGCTAACATTTCGTGCATTACGAAACACCATCATCAATGAATCACATCAAATTTGTTATGTCGTATATTGAACCAAGGCCAACTTGACCATGTACGACTCGTCTTACTGTGACAGTTAGTTTTGATGTCACTGTAAGAAACGTCAAAAGCTGATGTCGTCCGGTCGCGACCAAATTTGATGGGTACTAGTACTATTACTACATAGTAGTACTACTACTATGAGAGACGGTCCCACCCTCCAAAGTCGGATACGAAGTTTCGTTTACATCTTCATCAGGGTGGGACTAACGGCTTGATATTGAAGAAAAATGTTGGTAATTGGGGACGGGCTACAGGATGACGCTTTCAACGTTCCGAACCGATGCACGATGCCTCTAAATGGACGAAATCAATAGAACGCCAGGGCTTCCCCTAGGAGATGCAAGACCTTGTCGTTGGTGGGGAAGCTCCTGGTCAGGTGCTGGGGGAATCCCCCCTAGCACTTGGCTTGGTCCAAGAAGCATCTCACTCATCGTCTTGTCCCTGACTGTAGTGTCGTGGCCAGGGAATTGCACCAAGACATATAACGATACCGGGCGGGGCTACGGACAGTCTCAACCTTGGGGCACCAGGGGGCACCCCATTGTATTTTACCCCTTACTTCTACATGCGGGGCTCTGTAGAAGTGGACCGACTGTCCCTAGCGACTCATGGGAACACTATGAGACCTGGTAATAATAGTAATAAAAACATCACCGGTGAAGCTGTGGGGAAACCCCCTAGCAACACTGGGAACAGTAACGATGAAAGTTCCATGGGGAATTTGGGAATTTTTTTTTTGTATGGGTCGATTACCCATACAAAATTCAGTTTTTTAGTATTTGGAGCAATTATTATTAGTCAGTTCATGTAGTTTGAATACTGGAATCATATTAATTGGTCCTCTTTAACAAATATTTAAACAGTTTTTTTTAATTTTTTTAATGAAATAAACGAATTATATCGACAATATTAGTATCTGTACTCTTTAAAAATTTGGTACATCTTTAAAAACAATCTCAAATGTCAATATTCCATGGGTATATTGATAAATGAGGTCTAAATTATAAGAAAATGCATTTTCTACGAAAACTTGAAGGGATAGGTAAAAAATAGTATAACACAATTTGATAGACAATTAAATTGTGCATCTGATTCTCCTAAAATATACAGGGCATTCCATTAAAATTAAAGAAGTTATTGCCGTTTGAAGCTAATAATTATTTAAAATAAATTTTTAGACACTCTGTATGAGGTAGTATTATTTTTATTACTGCAACACAATAACTGATCAATAAATAAACTTCAGTAAATATTTAGTATTAAAAACTTTGATACCCTTGGAGAAATGAAGCCTTAAAATTTTTACTGCAATTTCACAAAATTGAAAATATTTCAAAAACGGTAAGGTTTAAGTATCATAAACCTTAATCAAATTTACCTTTATTTTATTCGTAGAAACTAAAAATGTAATAATATACAGGGTGTTCCATTTAAAAAAATACAACTTAGATATTTTTTACTTAATTGGGACACTCTGTATCATGTAAAATTATTTTTAAATTGTACCTCTAATAGTCCTTCATCAAACCCAAAACTTACAATTTGTAAAGATCTCATCGTTTAGCTACAATACTCCGTGTCGTATGTGGGGAACAACCCTGTATAATATGGATAATTTTGTGTTTACACTTCTTAAATGGAAAACTTAAAAAAAATGTTCTTGATTTTCCAACATCCACTTATATCTTTTAATAAAATTAATAAATAATATATTAATTTTTAATTAATTTATTGAATATTGAACTAGATTAAAGTTAAGTCAGTACGTCAACGTCAGTTTTTCAAAATAAAACGTTCTTTGTAGAGTTCTTTGTAGATAAAGCGTATCTAGATATAAATTATTAGATAAAAAATGTATTGATTATTTTTAAATCAATAATCAAGATCTACGTAAAACAAAATTAATTTATAGAAAAACTTTAGAACATATTTATTTAGAACTTTGTTAATATATATTTTTTTAAATTAATGAAAACTAATTTTGGAGATGCTCTTAAATATTTTTATTATGGTCTTACATTTAATATACTGTCAGTTAATTAAGATTAACAACTGAAATCAATCATAGTGGAAAACTTAATAAAGAAACAACATAAAAAATAAAAATCGTCTTAAAATATAAACTATTTTTATTTATCTTTATAACATGAAATTCTTTACTGTTAATATAGTCAGTCAGTCTATATATCTATTTACAAATAAAGTCTATTTCATAAATGTTCGCATATATATTAGTAAACACACATGTTAGTTATAACTTTTAATTTTTACAATTATTTAATTGAACGTGTTTTGATAAGAGTCAGCAGCCTTTAAAGAATCATCAAGAAACACCTATGTTTATATATTTTAACATATTCATTACAAGCATATTTTATTAATAACTATTTAAAGTATATTAGTTTTATTTAATTAATACTTAATGACACAAAACATGTAAATGCTAAAATATATTTACACAGTTAAATTCATTTAAGTTACCTTAAAAATATTAATTTTCTTACTTAACAAAAAATAAATAAAATTTAAACAGTGTGCGACAAAAAAATTGCAACAAATTAAATACGTTTTTTATTCAGTTTTCAAAAAATTATATGTATTCGTATGAATGACATAAGACATAAAATTCACTCAAAATAAATTGTAAAATACTAAAAAATATTAATTTTTAGAATACTGATTTTTTTTGCAATAACCTGCAGAAATTAAACATTTACCATATACAGGGTGTTTCAAAAAACATGTGCCATCTCTCATGAAGACATTCCTCGCAAAAAATAAGATTTATTTTTCATATCAGCATAGGGTCCGATTCTGCTTTGTTTCGTAGCTACAGGGTGTTAAAATCTTAATATTTTTTCGATTTATTATAATTATTTTCCAAGTGCCTTTAGCGTTTCGAATGAAATTTTGAGGGCAAAAGTTACTATAAATGCGACATATTTTAAAGCTAAAAATGTATCAACATATTCACCAGGGACGCGCATATGGGTTATTACTGGAATATTTTTCTAAACAATGCATGTACGTAACTGACTTTTTTTACTTGTTAGGGAAATGGTGTAAGCAATTTAAGACGATTAAAAGTTGTCTCTTGATATTTTGCCGATTTCGGCCTGTTTGATGAGATAAAAGCAATTCTATTAATATGCCTTGATCCAAGTCTAATAGCAACCTTTAAAAAAGTGTAATATCATTAATTTGTGTAAGTTTCAAATATGTACTCAATGATTCCTCATCAAAAAATATGAAAAAAGTTCCTATAAATATGGGTATGGAAATGCATAATTAAAAAAAATTGTAATTATCTTAAATACCATTATATTTTTATTTAAAATTGCTATAGGATGGACTAATAATAATAATAACTAATAGTAATAATATTTAATAGTAAATTAGGTAAAATATATAATTTATTAATTTAATTTTTATTAATTATTATTATTAATAAAATTGCGTTTATCTCATCAAGGAGGCCGAAATATGACAAAATATCAAGAGATAACTTTTAATTGGCATTAAACGGCCTACACAATTTTGATTTCAAAAGGAAAAAGTCAGTGGCGCACATGATTGTTTTTTTTTGAATAATATTCCAATGATAACCCATATGCACGTCCCTGATTAATTTATCGACACTTTTTTATCATTAAAATATGTAATACTTATAGTAACTTTTACCCCCAATATTTCATTAGAATCATTAAAAGTACTTGGAAGAAAATTATAACAAATCGAAAGATTATTAAGATTTTAATACCCTGTAACTACAAAACAAAGCAGAATCGGACTTATGTTAATATGAAAAATAAGTTTTATATTTACGTGAGAAATCTCCCTACGAGAGATGGCATATGTTTTTTTGAAACACACTGTAAAATCATACAAAAATTCATAACTTCATAATCTATGAGCCACGTTTATTTAAAATTAAAAATACTTGTTTTCAAGTTTTCATTTGTAGAATATAAATTAGAATCTTTGTCAATAATCTAATAATTTGTGTTAAATAAAAAAATGTTTTAAATGTTATAAAAATTATTTACAGGGAAGTTATTTTTTTGCAATTCTAAAATGAAAGTGAAAAAATAAAAGTTTTAAGAAAAATGTTATATAAATAAATTTTTAAAAGCCATGTTTATCTATAAAAATGAATGTATTGATGTAAAATCGAATGCTGAGTAACTTTCCCTTTGATATATTCCGATATTTTGATATTTAACCTCAATTTTTACGTGTTTCATATATTTCCAATTTCTCAATGTCATTTATCAAGTGACATAATATATCAGAAGAATTTGTTATATTATTAGGCATAATAGAAAACTTTATACAATTACTCGACAAATTTACCGTATGTTTGCGAACTTTTTGTCACACAGTGTACATTACTTAATTTCGGGGATCTGTTAAAATAAACCTCAGCAGCAATACAGTTTTGCATAAATAAAACAGAAAACCAATAAGATAATTAATATTTTTAAGGTAAGTTCATCTAGGTCTTCGAGGCGAGTTTCAATCCTTCTTGCAATGGTAACAAGCACAGTTGACAGCGGACTTGAACACATAAGTGCGCACGCCCTCTTTGCACAGAACGTGCACATCGATAGGTTCCGTTTCCATGATGTTACAACAGGTTCCGATTGAGGTTATAGGCTGGCTGATTTGGTGGTTTTGTGGATCTGAGGGAATCGCCCAACTTTCGCAGAAACCTCGACAAGCGTTGGTGGTTATATCGAATGAAACGCAGTCTCTTATGTTTACTTTCCTGGTATGACCTAAAATGTTAATAAAACAACGTTAAAAATTCACACATTTATGCCATATTGTAGAACCAAACAAAATGAACAGTTATTTTTTACATTTATCACTAATTTGTAAAAACTATACTTCATTCTTTTATAAAATTTGAATGACTTTAAAGTATTCCCCCTCATTAATTTTTTACTTCATCTCTACAGGGTATTGCAAATTCGAGGAAAATCACTGGAACCTAGAAAACTATAAAAGACACAAACAAACTCAAATTATAGCAAAGCTGCACAATTTTATGACCAATAAACTTCCGTTTAGCAAATTAAATTACTCGAATAAAGATATTTGGAAACAACCGAAATATTATAGAGGAGTTTATTCGAAAAAATATTTTAAAATTAATGTCACTTCATCATTGTCATTTTTATTTTATTTACAGGGTGTTCCAGAAATAAGTGCAAATATTTAACTGGTAGTATATTTTGGCTCCAGAAACACTCTTATAAGTTTTTTTACGAATAAAAAATGTTAAAAATTTTATATTTTACTTGACAATTTCCGGGAGTTTTGAAAAAACTTTTAATGCCACTTGTTTATTCGCCTAAAGCGCCGAATAAGTTTAAAACCCTCGTGAAGAACCTTAATAGCCGGTTATCGCCAGCGGTTCTCAAAATGTTTTCATTATTTTTTAAAATATTCAAAGTTAAATAACTCAGTTATTTTCAAAAAAGATAAAGAAAAAAGATGTTTTTTTGACCAGATCTACCACCCCTTAAAATATATGCACTTATTTCTGAGATACCCTGTATATTTATGAATAATTGAAGTAAAATAATATCAAAAATTCATAGTTCAATAATAATTTGTGTGACACGTTTGTTTTAAAATTAAAAAAATGCCTCTTCTAATTCAAATTTTTGTAGATCATATAATTATTAAGAAAAATAGTAATAAATAGCAAGAATTAGTATATTTTAAATAGACTTAACTTTATCATACCAAAAATACAATTATGGTTACACTTGCTCAAAAAAATGTCACCAGTTTTTAAACCGTCTACAACACAGTGCATATTTTTTATATTATTCAACGTTGCAGCAAGTATGCTACAACATTGCATTTAGGAGGTTAGCTATATTAAAATAAATAAAACATTTAGGTAGAAAATGTGACAATAATGAAGTGGGATTTATTTTAAAATATAATTTAAAAAAAGTTACCCTCAAATAATGCCAGAAAAAAATAAAAAAAGATTTTGTGTTATTTTATTTCATTATATTTTATTAATTTCGATTTTATTTATCTATTAAGAAATATTCGAAATTTTTTACTTTTCAAAACGTAATTTTGTTTCATTTAAAATTGTAAAACTTTGCCGAAATGTCATCTCCTGCATATCTGTCTTATAGTTTTCGAAATCCCGATGGCCACTCTCAAATTTTGAATACCTTGTACAGGGTGGGTCAAATTCGACGCTTTTAAATGGAAACACCCTTTTCTATAGGAGATAGACGAAAACTAATATCGGTGTCTGGAGCTCAATTTTCATCAAAAACATGATGGTGAAAACCGCACATCAATATCTGTTACCGTTTCGGAGTTACGGGGTGTTTTTCACAAATGTGCATTTTTAACAAATCGCTGTAACTTTTTTGCTATGGAAAATTTTGTATTTCTATGAAAATTTCACACCTCTACTTTTCAACCAATAACATGCTTTAATGTTGACTAGTTACCATGGCAACTGAAAAAATTTCCGGAAATTTTTTCGAGGCGCCACGAAACTTTAGTGGAAATTTTTTGACAGTTGAAAAGGTAAACATAAGATCTACAATCATAATGTGAATGAACTACAATGTCTATATATTGAAATATTACCCATTTGAGTTTTAGCAATACCTTGGCCAACTTAACAAATTGAAATTATTTTAAAATGTCATGTTGGATTAATATTTTTTTTCAAATTTAGGTGTGAAATTTTCTTACCGAATACCACGCAAGCTTAAATTATTCCTGGAAATTTTCTTTCGGGCACGAATATTTTAGGAAAATTATCCCTCGTCTTCGACTCGGGATAATTTTCAAAATATTCGTGCCCTCAAAAAAATTTCCGAAAATAATTTAAGCTCTTGTGATATTATAAGTGAAAACGTTTCCAAAGCACCTTTTAACGTAGAATTTAATAGTTTGAGTATAATTTTTTAAAAATTAAAAATTTAAGAGTTATCAGCAGAAAAATGGTTTTTTTATTTGGGACACCCTCTATATTTTTAATTAATTGAAAAGAATTTAAAATTACCTTTCCAAAAATATAGCACACTTGATATTTTGTTATAATCCCCTTCGAAATACAGAATTTTTAAAAGTTCGCCACTTTTAACTAGTAGGCTTTGGACCCCTTATTGATGATATGCCCTTAATGGCACTCGAAAACATATTTTTCCAGCAAGACGACGCACCGCCTCAGAACGCTGAAGTTATCAGCAAATTTTTGGAGCTAATTTTTTTGAATAGCTAACCAAGATTCTAGCCGTTGGCCGGCGAGGCCGCCTGACTTAGTGCCCATGGATCTAAACGTATGCATATATTTGAGGAAGAATTCTTTATTCTTCCGTATAAGATTCCTTATTCTTCCGTATAATCTAGACAAGAATTAGAAATACTTAGCAGTTATGAGAGGGTATCTTTCACCCCAACTGAGTTAATGAATTCTGCGAGAAATGTTCAAAAACTGCCTCGTCTGTCCATAACAGAAGACGGTCGATATGTCGAACACCTGTAGCAAAATCTCATGTCTTGGTTTACTATTTATTTTTATTGTTATTATATATTGTTTAAATGTGTTGATGTTGGTTAAATATATTTTAAATTGTTATAAAATTCTGCATCTCTCATAGCAAATATTATTTTCGTTTTAATTGATGCTCACAGCTAGAATTTTTTTTGCATTACAGCCGGTGCCGTTCAAAGCCTACTTATTTAAAGCTGGCGAATTTTTATATACTCTATATATCGAAAATGAACCGACCAAAATATCAAGTGCGTTTTATTTTTGGAAAGGTAATTTTAAATTCTTTTCAATAAATTAAAAATATACAGGATGTCCCATATAAAAAATCAAATTTTCTGTTGATAATTCTTAAATTATTAATTTTAAAAAATTTATACTTAAACCATTAAATTCTACGTAAAAAGGTGCTTTGGAAATGTTTTTATAAAAATACAGAATTTTCCATAGCAAAAAAGTTACAGCGATTTGTAAAAAATGCATATTTTTGAAAAACACTCCGTAACTCCGAAACGGTAACAGATATCGATATGCGGTTTTCACCATCATGTTTTTGACAAAAACTGAGCTCCAGACACCGATATTAGTTTTTGTCTATCTCCTATAGAAAAGGGTGTTTCCATTTAAAAACGTCGAATTTGGCCCACCCTGTACATAATATATCTTGAATATTTAACATATAATTTTTTAGCATACTTAAATAATATGTTTTGTATGTATACAATGATATCAGATTTCCCAACTTAAGAATTAAAAAATTAAATACATAAAAAACAGTATTAGACATATTTATTTTAAACAAATATTTTCCTTACGTTTTTTTTAAATTCTATGTAAAGGACTTACCAACTTTATGGCAACCTGGAGAGTTGGAGTCGATAACTTTCTCTTGTGTGATAATGGAACCATATGAAAATGAAATTACCCAAAATAAAAGATAAAAAGCCAGCATTCTGAAAAAAAGACATATAAAAGAACATCATCCAAATTATTTAAAATATAAGGGGTGAGTCTTAAATGAGCGCAAATATTTTTAGGGGTAGTATATTTCGACCCTAGAAAAACGAATATGAGGGTTTTTTTCGCCAAAAGAAAATTAAAAATTTGGATTTTTTATAGTTTTTAGTTAAAAAATATAAATACTTCATAATATGGGTAGTAGATTAAGTTTACAATAAAGAAAACTCATGCTGTGGATTTCGTAATTTAAGCAAAAATATATATATTTTTTTAATTTCCAAAGTAGAATAACTCGGTAGCTTTATTTGAGAAACAGTAATGTTTCTTTTATCGAGCAGACACACCCTGTATATGCTGTTTGTATTTTTATATTTTATAATTATAATATTGAAGTAAAAGTATACGAAAATCAATTTTTACTCTAAGTACATATACGATTAAGAAAGAAAATCAAAGTTGAAACTAAAATACAATTTTAGTGTGTATATTCTATTTATTTCAATTCAAGTCATGTTTAATGCGTTCATTTTTAATATTAAAACATGTTAATAAAATAGAACAAATATTCACCACAATAATTAAAAGCAGTAGTCCTACAAAAACGAGTATTAAAATAATATGATAAACAATAAACTTTAAATAATAATAAAAAAACTTTTTATATAAGTATATTAAAGGAGCTTTACTGTTTTTTCATATAGAATATTAAAATATTTTTTTCACACCCAATATAAAACCATCTGAAATACAAATAAAATGAAACAGTAATTAATCAATTACATTATCATTAATTATATAGCTAATTGGCTTATATTTAAACATAATTTATAAGATATCTATCAAAAAGTATATGTAGTTTTAATGTAAAAGAATAAATATTAAACAGTTTTAAGTCAAAATAAAAGTATGCTTTTTATATTTGTTTTTTCATAAACCATACACTAGAAATTTAGTAGATTTTATGTTTATTATATTAATTTATATATTAATAATTATTTCATATATTAATAATTAATTGAACTAAAATAATAACGAAACTTCGTAACTTGATAATCTCTGAGACACGTTTATTTAAAATAACTGTTTTAAAATTCAATAATACAAAAAATAGTATTAAATAGCAAAACTTTATATATTTTAAAATGTACTTAATCTATATATATAAAAAATAGCGTTACAATATTATAATTGATAATATATTGACATTAGTGTAAGAAAAAAACTGATGTGATTTTTCTAAAAGCATGCAATTTACACAAAATTAACACTAAATAGCAAAAACGCATTTTATGGTATATTGTTTAAACAAATGTACGTACCTAGCTGGTGGAAATTGGCGGAGAGTAGTCGAACTTTCGCCGCCGGAATCTTAAATGAAAGTTTGTATTTGCGCGCGTGTTTTACCCTCTTTTTCGCTCTACCCCCACTTTAAACAATTCCGCCACCCCCATAGAGCCGTTCTCGGCCGCTGGCCCACGGTGTCGTTTCGTATTCAGTTAAATGTCGGTTCAGGATTCAAATTTGGATAGAAATTATGGATATTTCTGGCATTTTGAATAGGTACTTCATTTTCATTGAGAGATTGTCGTAATGAAGTTCTTTGACTTGTTGATTTCATTGGGCAATACAGAATAATTTTCAAAAGACTATAAGAGCCGCTAAGGACCTTTATTATAATACTAGAATAGTCAATTCTGGTAAAGTTGCTAAGGAAACATGGTCTATTGTGAATGATTTGAGAAACAAAGCTTCTTCGTCTAGCAATATCTCTACCTCACCTGAGAACCTTAACGATTACTTTGTAAATGTAGCGAAAAACTTAACTAATACCATATGTCCTTCTTATGATCCACTTTCATATCTTTCTAATAATAATGTAAACTTACACAGTTTCTTTTTTTCGCCCGTAGTTTTAGAGGAGCTTCGCATTACAATTAACACCATCAAAAATAAATCCTCATCTGGGACCGACGGGCTAACTTTAAAAATGTTTTCGAATCTGCCAGAAAGCACTCTAAATCACCTAACTACTTTAATAAAGATGTCATTCCAAAATGGTATTTTCCCAAAATGTCTTAAGACGGCAATAATCATTCCTCTGCATAAAAGAGGAGACAAATATGAAACTATCGCCCAATTGCACTCCTTCCAACGCTATCTAAGATCATAGAAAGGTTGCTTAAAGGAAGGCTGGTATCTTTTCTGTTGTACAAAATGCTTACTGAACATCAATTTTGATTTCTAAGCAACATGTCCACAAATGACACTATGTTTTCCCTCCTTAATAAAGTTTACTCAAGCGTAAATAACCATCATTTTACAGCAACAATTTTCTGTGATTTTTCTAAAGCGTTCGACTGTGTAAATCATAAGATCCTAATTAATAAACTGCAGCACTATGGGTTCAGGGGAACATCTCTCGAATGGTTTAAGTCGTATCTGAGCAACAGAAGTCAACTTGTGAGGGTGGATACCACGTTGTCTTCTAGCAAGCCAATAAAATGTAGAGTATCACAAAGCTCAGTACTAGGCCCTATTTTGTTTTTTCTTTTTATTAACGACATTGCTAACATAAACATCAGTGGCAAGATATGTCTTTTTGCGGACGGCACTTGAAGCAACAAGGACGTCACGGCACTTCATAGGATTATATCAATGACTTAATCACCATTAAATCTTGGTGCGATTCGAACCTCCTGAGTCTCAACATTTCTAAAACTAAAGCTTTGTCGTATAAAAACTCGCTGCAGCCTTTTGTACTTAACAACACAAACAAAACTTTAACTTAACAACAAAATTCTTAGGGCTTGTTGTAGACAATTCTCTGAAATGGGACATGAAAAAATTGAGCTCTGCCTGTTTTGCATTAAGATCTGTTTCTAAGGAGCTTAACTTGTCAGTGGCTAGAACTGTTTATTATGCACTTTTTGAGTCGCACCTCAGGTATGCCCTTCCATTCTGGGGTACGTGTTGTGCGACTCACTTTGACCGCATTTTCAAGCTCCAGAAGAGAGCTGTTCGATATTCACTGGGACTAAACAGCAGAACTCATTGCCAGGACTTTTTAAAAAAATTAAAAATATTAACTCTTCCTTCCTTATTTATATTTGAATCCGTTTGCCTAATACGTAAGCATGTATCAGCTTCTCAAGAAATGCCATCTCACACTTATCCACTCAGGAACGCGGAGCAAGATCTTTATCTACCTACCCCACGCTCAGAGTTAGTTAAAAGTTCAATATTATACAACTCGAAAAAAATGCACAATCACTTAACACTCAAGTTAAAATATTTAAATTGAACTATTCGAGAACACTTTACTTTTTAAAACAGATACGTCTACAAGAAATCGTTGACGTTCTGTTAAAATAATATAATAATTTTATATATATATATATATATATATATATATATATATATATATATATATATATATATATATATATATATATATATATATATATATATATATATATATATATATATATATATATATATATATATATATATATATATATATATAATAAATAATATTTTCTTGCCTTTAGCTGTGTATTTTTTTCTAATTTCGAAAAATCGAAAGTAGAGAAAAAATTAAAAAAATAAAAAGTAAAAAGAAAATTGCTTTGCTTGTCGTAAAGGGGGGAACCAAGCTCCACTCCCACAACCGGTTTCTGGGCCTACCCTTCATCAGGTGGGCTGTCCAGGGGCTGGTTCTCACCGATACGGCAAGCAAAACTTCTCCTATATCAACAGACGATGTCGTAACGTGTCGGTGAGATATTAGTGCATCTCCCGTCAAAAGATGGTAAAGAGCGTTTTTCGGCCCGCTCAAATATATGAAATGAACAAAATTCTTACAGCTTTAGTGTATATTAATAAATAATATTTTCTTACCTTTAGCTGTGTATTTTTTTCTAATTTCGAAAAATCGAAAGTAGAGAAAAAATTAAAAAAATAAAAAGTAAAAAGAAAATTGCTTTGCTTGTCGTAAAGGGGGGAACCAAGCTCCACTCCCAGAAACCGGTTGTGGGTAGTGTATATATATACTATTTCTTGATTCTTTATATTTTTTTGCTTCCGACGACGGAAAGAGAAAACTTTCCGAAACGTTAAGCATTTTTTTCTTTGTTAGGCCAATTTTTATTACTGTAAACACAACTTCTGACAAGCAGCGTCCGTTTAGGTTTAACGCAGAAGTGTTTACAAAAAATAACTATTTTATTTTGTAGATTTTTCTTGCAGTGCAGTGGCGAAAAACCCATAAGGATTTTTTTGGATAGATGAATCCGCCACATAGGTATGGACATTTCTTATATTTCTTATTTTTACCAAAAGTGTTTCTAACTTGCACTTAAAAATTTACAAGGTATAGGAAAAAATATAATGATTAGTTAATAAATAAACAAATAAAATATCACGAGACGTAATTAAAAGGTGAAGCTCAACGCATGATGTACACTCTTCCCTAGAATTTTAAGTACTGATATGGTACTGATTGGGTCGACTGGTTGACCGCGACGAATGTGCTATATCCCCTTACACGTCTCTTCGTCTTCGCAATGTGCACAGTTCCTCGATTTATTTCATACGTTTGGCAACATTTTTACTGTTGAGTCTTTGTTCAGTACATAAACGCATTGTACTCTTACATATAAATTATGTACTTATATCATACTGTCAAATTATGGAGCAATAATCATAATAAAATTGTAACGTAAAGTTTAAGATTGCTATTCAGTCTAGGGGGTATCGTTCGAAGAATTGAATTTGGATGAAAAATTATGGATATTACCGGAGTTTTGCATATCCAGTTTTCACCTCATTAGAGAGCTTTTTAATGAACCTGTTTGTCTTTAAAGCAATGCAATTTTAGTAGGCGTTTGACTTTTAAATCCATTTGTGTTATTTAAGAATGAAAAATGTGTGTAAATTTAACTATAATATATTAATAAAATAAAAAAATTAGATATCCAGGCCATATTTTAATATAACAAGTTATTTGATATTAACTAACCTAATAGCTAAACATATTCAAATCTAACTGTATAATACAAAGTGGTCCAAACTGTATTCCGGAAACTTCAGCAGCATATTCTGCAGATAAAAATAAGTAAAAAAGTTCGTATAAATAATGTATGTCCCAAAATGCTTAGTTTCGAAGGTATAGGGTGTAGTAGTTTTATTTTTTTTTCGATTTTTTCCAAATAATTTCTGAAGTGACGTCAATATTTGAATGAAAATTGGTGTTTGGGAGTTTTTTGACATGAGAAAATTGATTTTGATGTCAATATGACTGATATTTGTGAGGGGCGCCACCTACATGTGTTTTAACTGTTTTGAAGAATAATAACTTTTCGTCCGTACCCGTACAAAACTACTGAGTAAAAAAATACAAATTTCCGTGATTTTCTACGTAAAAAATGTCTCTTGGTAAAAATCGCTACGAACAACCGTTCTCAAGATATTTAGAATTTAAATAGTCAATACCTGTCATTATTGACATAAATTAAACATGTTGACTATATTATAGTTATTATACTGAAATCATAAATTTGAATTGTTTTTGTGCCAAAGGTCAACAGAAACTGTTTTAACATCATTTTTTCGAAGACAATTTTTTTATTAATTTAAAAAATAAAAAGGTCCCAAATTTATCGTTTAAGTCAAATATTATTCCTACTCAACGTATGTTTATTTTTTGTATTGACTATTTCCATTATAAATATCTTTGCTCGTAGCGATTTCTACGAAGAGACATTTTTTATTGAATAAGAAGACTAAGGAGACTAACTCACTTAAATTAAGTAATGAGTGAATTTCATAAATGATCGGTTTACTACACGTATGTATATTATATAGTTACTTACTAGCGAAAAGTTGTTCCATTATTTCACTCAATTTTTGCCGAGATCTACCGCACGCTACACAACCAACTATTTTAGAGTCTTTTTCGATAAATCGCGATAGTGTCACTGTTAATTTAAGTTCTGCCACAATTTCCATCTAGATTTACTACCTTTATACAACTATCAGTAGTAGAATAAATAATAAATAACATAAAATAAGCTCCGTAAAGACTGACAAATCCACAAAATTTCAAATCAAATTCAAATGTGTCAAATGAATTGTCAAACAGAACTGTCAAGGATCCCCACCCTAGAGTGCTTTTTCCGCCCACCATGCATGAATATATGGCTAGCATTATGCTCCTTCCTTAATCTTCTTATTCAAAGCAGAAATTCAAAGGTTAAAACACATGTAGGTAGCGCCCTCTAAGATAAGAGTCATATTGACATCAAAATCAAATTTCCCATGTCAAAAAACTCCCAGACACCAATTTTCATTCAATAAAAATAAAATTTCTACACCCTGTACATCCAAAACTAAGCATTTTAGGACATACATTTATACGAACTGTTTTACTTATTTTTATCTGCAGAATATGCTGCCGAAGTTTCCGAAATACAGTTCGGACCATCCTGTATAATTAACAGAAATATAACTTATTATTCTGAACTGAATTGAGTTTTCGGTAGATTTAAAATTTATTAAAAATATAAAGGGGGAGTAATTTGAAATTCATTAAAATATGTTATGCAACTCAGAAAACATGTAGATTTATATTATTGATATGTACTTCAGATATCAGTTTGAATTATTACAGAAAACTGTATGAAATCGAATGAGATATGAATCATGATATGAATATATATATATATATATATATATATATATATATATATATATATATATATATATATATATATATATATATATATATATATATATATATATATACTCAATCTTATTTAACAACTATATATCAAGAAATATATATTTTCTTTTAAAAGCAGTAAAAAAGTACTGGTAGACCTAATAGATATATATATATATATATATATATATATATATATATATATATATATATATATATATATATATATATATATATATATATATATATATATATATATATATCGATTTCGTTTAGTGCAAAATTATGCCGAGCTATGGCACCGTTTACGCGTCTCTGACACCTGCAAAAATCAATGCGACGTCCCACAGCTGATTTCTGTTATTAAACCCCGCTCTGACGTTTGAACGCGCGAGTCGCTCGAAAAATCCTAAAAATCGGCCTAAAATAACTGAAAAGCGCCGTGAAATATAGTCTAAACAGTGCCAGAGGTCGATTAGAATCAAACCTGTTGAAAATAGAGCATGATAGATATGTCTCTGGAGGAAGAATTGCCAGAAGAGTTTAGGGGCGGGACTTTGCGCATAAATAAAAGTGGAGAGCAACAGTCTGCAGGCTCATCAGGTCTGAGGGAGAATTACCGTGAAAATAAGGGAGGTTTCAGCAAGACGGACAGCACGAGCAGCAATACCAGTTGCTATTGGGGCGGATTGCCACTGCCCTTAACGTCGATATCCACCAGAAGTAAATATTTATTTAATGAATAATTAAAACTACCTATATTATATCGCAAATATATTTGAACATAATATATTTAATTTCAAAGTCAATCAAAACTAATAAAAAAATCCAATTTGATTGCAGAATATGAAATTAAAAACAAGCACTAAACTGTACAGAATTTATGTGATCAATATTTTAATAATATCTGTATAATAAAATAATCTAGTTTTTAATATTGATGAATGCGGTAAAATATAAAAAAACATTACATAAATATTTCGATACTAAAAATAAGAGTTCCTGAAAAATTATTAAAAAAATATAAAACTGCCCCTCGTGTAAAATCAATAAAAAATGCGCATTGAGCCGTAATGAATATCTAAAAATAAAATAAGGGTAAGATACAGATTTATCAAAAAGTGTGTCTCATATTATGTTAAGTTATGTTTAATTTATACAGGGTGTTTCAAAAAACATGTGCAATCTCTCGTGGGGAGATTCCTTACAAAAAAACAACATTTATTTTTCATATCAACATAGGTCCGATTCTGCTTTGTTTCATAGCTACAGGGTGTTAAAATCTTAATAATCTTTCGATTTATTATAATTTTCTTCCAAGTACTTTTAGTGATTCTAATGAAATTTTGAGGGTAAAAGTTACAAGTGCTGCATATTTTAATGCTAAAAAAGAGTCGATAAATTCATCAGGGACGTGCATATGGGTTATCACTGGAGTATTTTTTTAAAAAAAAGCTTGTGCGCCACTGACTTTTTGTTTTGATATCAAAATTGTGTAGGCCGTTTAATGCCAATTAAAAGTTATCTCTTGATATTTTGTCGAATTTGGCCTCCTTGATGAGATAAACGCAATTTTACAAATCACAATTTAATAAAATTAAAATAAAAATAAAATTAATAAATTATTATATATTTTACCTAATTTATTATTAAATATTATTACTATTAGTCATTATCACTATTAGTCCAACCTACACCAATTTCAAATAAAAAATAATGGTATTTAAGATAATTACCAAAAACCTAATTTTAAAAAGTTTTAGCATCCTGTAACTCGGAAACTATGCATTTCCATATTAATGTTTATAGGAACTTTTGTTCATATTTTTTGATGAGAAATGATTGAGTACTTATTCAAAACTTTCGCAAGTTAATGATATTATAATTTTTTAAAGGTTACTATTAGACATGGATCAAGGAAAATTAATAAAATTGCGTTTATCTCATCAAGGAAGCTGAAATCGGCAAAATATCAAGAGGCAACTTTTAATCGGCATTAAACTGCTTACACTATTTCTCTAACAAGAGAAAAAAGTCAGTGACGTACAGGCTTTTTTTTAGAAAAATATTCCAGTAATAACCCATATGCACGGCCCTGGTGAATATCGACACTTTTTTAGCTTTAAAATATGTCGCATTTATAGTAACTTTTACCCTCAAAATTTGATTCAAAATGCTAAAAGTACATAGAAATATAAAATTATTAATTATAGAAGAAATTAAAATAAATCGAAAAAATATTAAAACTTTAACACACTTTAACAAAAAATAAATCTTATTTTTACGTGAGGAATCTCCCCACGAGAGATGATACCTGTTTTTTAAAATACCCTGTATAAGCTAAAGTTTTTAAATGTATATTTGTTTGGCAATATATCAAATAACTTTACAGTAAATATATCTTTCTAGCCCAGTAATGGTAGTCTAGCTTACTGCATTATTCTGTATACTAAGGGCTGGCAAATGTTAGTCTTGGGTCGAAATTTCCGTATGTAAGAAGAGTACAGTGCGTTTATAACGTACTGAACAAAGAGAGGACAGTAAACATGTTGCCAAACGTATGAAATAAACCGAGTAACTATGCACATCGCTAAGAGACGTGGAAGGGGATATAGCAGATTTGTCGCAGTTGACCGGTCGACCTAATCAATACCTCTGTCAGTACTTAAAGTTCTAGAGAAAGGTGTACGTCATGCGTTCAGCTTCACGATTTAATTACGTCTCGTGATACTTAATTTGTTTATTTATTAACGAGTCGTTGTAATTTTCCCTATAGCTTGAAGTGCAAGCTAGAAACACTTGCATTTTTGGTAAAAATAAGTGGAATTGAGTGGGTGTTCGATAGTGGTCGCGCTATTAGAACTCTGAATTCAAAAATCGATATCTCGAAATCTATTAGAAATAATAGATTGTTGTTTTTTCAAGAACTTTGTTAATATTTCTGCTGTATTTTCTTTGTAGTCAGTAAGTGAAAATCTTTATCAATAAAAAAATTACACAATTGCTGAATTATCGCGATTACTGGTGTTTTCTCGTTATAAAAAAATGACACCCTAACGATATCTTTATAATTCCATTTCAGATGCTCAGAAACATGTCTAATGATTTTATCTAGTTATCTCTTGAAAAAAAAAGTCTTTTAAAAATAAGCGGTTTGCGATCGTGATTTTACTTTACTTGATAGGGAAAGGCGTATCGGCAACGCCGCAACAGCACACCGTCGCGCGTCGCGTCGGTCGGTCACATTTCTCTCACTCCGACTTAATAAGATCCCTATGTGATTTATTTCCACACATGTAAATGCCGACCCAAAAGTAACAGTTGCCAGCACGGTATTTATAATTTTGTCTTATAGAATATCTTTACAAATCAACGTAAGTACTAATGTCTGGCTGCTTATCTAAGCTTCAAACAAAAATTTACCAAGTAGTTTACTTATTCGATCTCTTCTTATTTCTCAAAATTTTGCAAAGTGAATTTTAATGCTAGCATTCACTAGTAAAGGTTTATTTAAAAATTAGATGTTGAACTTTTGCGCAGTGTTAGCAAATTAGTGAATGTGAGCTTTTAGTACTAATTAATAATATTAACTGATACACACAGATCTTTTTTACTGTAACATAAAATATAAAAGCAAACATGAAAAATTCAAGAAGCAATGCCAATAATTTACAACTCATGTCATTAATATGTTTTAAAAATAAAAGATGGAAATATGTAATTAGTAATTCCCATAAAGAATGATCACTTACCATTAAAGAAAGAAGTAATTTCAAAATAAATACAGTTCCCATTATTTTCTTCACTTTTTCCTTGGATTTGTAAAAATGCAAAAATTATTTCGATAATAAAACGCTTAAAGAGCATTGCCTGAAACAAATAACATAAAAGCGCGGAAATATGAATATTCTAAACGGTATGACAATATTCAAATCATGACTATTCAAATAATATTACCGTTTTATCTGATAATAAAGTACAGCCACCTACTGATATAAGTACTTCAGATGCGCTCAAACTTTATATAGACTGGATAATAAACAATGTGACAAAAGCTCTTATCAGTCTTAAAAATATTTAGTTACCTCTACTGTGACTTTGCTATGTTTATGGAAAAAGTGTTATGTCCATTCATACAGGTTTTATATTTCCACACTATTCAACTATAAGTAAGTGTTACTAAAATTTAAAATTTTAACATTTATTGAACGTTCTTTAATGTTACTGAAACGTCGTGAATGTCGCCATATTTATGCCGGTGGCAACCCCTTTATTAATAGAAAATAAAAAAAATCTGGGAAATGGCAATGCCTCCGGAAACGGTAATGCCTCACGTCATTTTAGATCTACCTGTAACTTGGGATAAAAATAAATTAATAAAAGACCTGGGAATTTTGTTTAAATGGCAATGCCTCCGGAAACGGTAATGCCTCACGTCATTTTAGATCTACCTGTAACTTGGGATAAAAATAAAATAATAAAAGACCTGGGAATTTTGTTTAAGTGCAAACCTAAAGTATGTACTAGGATGTATTTGGAGAAAATATTTTAACTTTTAACTTCTACATAGTGGCTCAAAAAAGTTTGAGTGCATAGGGATGATTTTATTTAAATTGAACACCCTGTATATTATTGCATTTTTGGCTTCTTTTTGGATCATTTTACATAATCGTAAAATACGAGGGGTAAACCGCAGAGGGAAAAGTGTACACCGTAATTCCTTTTACTCAAATAATTCCTCAGAATTCCTCAATTCCTTGGTCTTCAAGGTCAAGGTCAATCATTCAAGGTCTTCCTTGGAATTCCTTGGTGCGAACTCGGTAACTCTTTTTCAGTCTGAACCAGCGTTGCCACCTCGGTTTCGCAGTTTCGTAATGAATTTTCTAGTGATTTTTATAAATGTCTAATGTCTCTATAAGTACTAGATCTAACAATAAAAAGTACTATTACGAGATTTACGATTTTTTAGTTAAATTTTAGGACTACTATGGAATCATGAGGTGAAAATACTGGAAATATGTCGGCACTTACTTATTAAAATTAATTTTTCTCGAGATTTTTTTGAAAATGATAGGTACCTAGTTATATCTATAGGAAAGGAAATTAATAAAACTTCAGTTGCACGTCATAATACGATCACCAGTAAATTCCATAAGATTACGCATGGTGTCATTGATGAAGTGCACCTCAAGTTGTATTAATTTCCTATAGTATATACCTAGGTATTATTCCGAGGAAATGGGAAAAAAACAACTTTACACTTTCTGAGTACCGAATAAAAAAATCTTATGAGGGTTTCTTTAAAATGGCGAAATCAGGGAACGTTATAAGTAGATCTGTCGGGGGTGGTTCGGCCGTACTATTGGAATATATAATCGAGGGGTACAATATTAAATTAAAAGAATATCTAACCTGTAGATATTTGATATTGGGAAATTTTGGAAGCGATCTGAAACGAAAACGGATTGTAAAAATCGCCTGCAAAACGTTTTTCTTTAAATTCAGTACTACCTATTATAGTATTCATGGTCTACTAATGTTCGTTAATTTTTTATAGATTTGCTTGTAATTCTTCTTAATTCCTGTGGAATTCCTCTAAATTCCTAAGGAATTCCTTGGAATTCATCGGAATTCTTACGGAAATCATTGGAATTCCTAGTAATTCCTCGTAACTCCTTGGAATTCCTGTAGAATTCCTTCATAGTGTACACCATAATTCCTCTGCGGTTTACCCCTCGGTAAAATATGAGTGAATATATTTCGATAGTTTCAGAGATATTAAAAAATATATATTTTTCAGGCTTTCTTAAAAAAAATATTAAAAATGCAAGAACTGTCCTGAAATCAAAACTATATTAGGTTGTTACTTTAGACGGTCTGTACTTACTTTGCTATAAATATCGTAATCTTGAATCATACAGAATGTTCAAAATTCTACGCCAAAATTTCTTAAATTTAAAATAATTTTTCTACGTTTATTTTAATAGAACACCATGTATTTTTTTTAGTAGATGGAGAAATAAAAAATTAACATTTTTTGTATTAAGAATATTTCAAAAATTTTAACGGCAGATACTCGCGTTATTATTTTATACCGGGTGCGTCTCAAATGGCTCACCCCTATAACTTTTTAATTTTTTTTAGAAAAAAAAAACGAGATTTGGTATATTCGTATATGACACAAATTAGGATTGATTGACGTATTCAATTGTTTTCGGTCACTTCCTGTTTCACAGGAAATGACTACAACTTTTGATTTGGTTTGTCATTCTCGATAAATGGCACCCTCGGTATTTTTTTACTTTATTCGATAGAAAATGACACTCTGAATCGAATGACATATCATATCTTAACTTTTTACATAATCGCTCAAAAACAAATTGAATGTTAAATTTCAATCTAGCTGAAACCGGAAGTGACGGAAAACAATTGAATATGTCAATCAATTCTAATTTATGTCATATACTAACATACCAAATCTCATTTTTTGATCTGAAAAAATAAAAAAGTTATTGGGAGTGAGCCACTTTTGAGCCTCACCCGGTATAGCCCATTCAACGGTAAAATACCAGAGAAAAATCACTGGGTGGCTTTGATAAAAATTTACTGTGGAAAATGCGATATGAAATACAGAACCGCGAATATCTGCAAAACCGTTAAAAATTTTGATATACTTCCTCCATTTATATCAAAGTAAGTACAGAACATCTAAACTAAATACCAAATATAGTTTTGATTTTTGAACAATTCTTGTATTTTTAATATTTTTTTTAAGAAATGCTGAAAATATATATTTTTATTTATTAATTAGTATCTCTAAAACTATTGAAATATATTTACATTTTATTTATTCATATTTTAGAATTATGTAAAATTATCTGAAAGGAAGCCAAAAATTCAATAATACAGGGTGTTTCATTTAAAAAAAATCATCCCGATCCGCTCATACTTTTTTGAGCCACCATGTAGAAGTTAAAATATTTTCCTGAAATACATCCTAATACGTACTTTAGGTTTGCACTTAAACAAAATTCCCAAGTGTTTTATTCTAGACCCTGTATATATCTAATATTGATATTAGATATATACAGGGCCACTGTACCGGGTGGGTCAAATTCGACGCTTTTAAATGGAAACACCCTTTTCTATAGGAGATAGACGAAAACTAATATCGGTGTCTGGAGCTCAATTTTCATCAAAAACATGATGGTGAAAACCGCACATCAATATCTGTTACCGTTTCGGAGTTACGGGGTGTTTTTCAAAAATGTGCATTTTTAACAAATCGATGTAACTTTTTTGCTATGGAAAATTTTGTATTTCTATGAAAACATTTCCAAAGCACCTTTCTACGTAGAATTTTATGGTTTAAGTATAATTTTTTAAAAATTAATAATTTAAGAGTTATCAACAGAAAAAATGATTTTTTATTTAGGACACCCTCTATATTTTTAATTAACTTAAAAGAATTTAAAATTACCTTTCCAAAAATATAGCACACTTGATATTTTGTTATAATCCCCTTCGAAATACAGAGTTTTTAAAAGTTCGCCACTTTTAACTAGTAGGCTTTGGACCCCTCATTGATGATATGCCCTTAATGGAACTAGAAAACATATTTTTGCAGCAAGACGACGCACCGCCTCTGAACGCTGAAGATATCAGCACATTTTTGGAGCCAATTTCAAGAATAATTGAATAGCTAACCAAGATCCCAGCCGTTGGCCGTCGAGGCCGCCTGACTTAGTGCCCATGGATCTAATCCTATGGATATATTTGCGGAAGAATAAAGGTTCCTTATTCTTCCGTATAATCTAGACAAGAATTAGAAATACTTAGCAGTTATGAGAGGGTATCTTTCACCCCCACTGAATTAATGAATTCCGCGAGAAATGTTCAAAAACTGCACCGTCTGTCCATAACAAAAGACGGTCGATATGTCGAACACTTGTCGCAAAATCTCATGTCTTGGTTTGCTATTTATTTTTATTGTTATGGGATATAGTTTATATGTGTTGATGTTGGTTAAATATATTTTAAATTGTTATAAAATTCTGCATCTCTCAAAGCAAATATTATTTTCGTTTTAATTGATGCTCACAGCTAGAATTTTTTTGCATTACAGCCGGTGCCGTGCAAAGCCTACTTATTTAAAGCGGGCGAATTTTTGTATACTCTATATCTCGAAGAGGAATCGCGCAAAATATAAAGTGTGTTATATTTTTGGAAAGGTAATTTTAAATTCTTTTCAATAAATTAAAAATATACAGGGTGTCTCATATAAAAAATCAAATTTTCTGTTGATAATTCTTAAATTATTAATTTTAAAAAAAATATACTTATACCATTAAATTCTACGTAAAAAGGTGCTTTGGAAATGTTTTCATAGAAATACAAAATTTTCCATAGCAAAAAAGTTACAGCGATTTGTTAAAAATGCACATTTTTGAAAAACACCCCGTAACTTCGAAACGGTAACAGATATTGATGTGGGGTTTTCACCACCATGTTTCTGATGAAAATTGAGCTCCAGACACCGATATTAGTTTTCGTCTATCTCCTATAGAAAAGGGTGTTTCCATTTAAAAGCGTCGAATTTGACCCATCCTGTACATTTTGACAGGTTTATAATGAGTATATTTTTATTATTGCAGTTTCTGAAACTTTATGGAGTTCTAAAACAAAAGATATCACACCCGTTCAAGACAAGCCTATAATTCAAACGCACACGATACAACCCAGAATCACCGTGGACCAAGACGCGAAAAAGTTTTTCACATATCGTGATGGCGTAGCCGACAGGGCCGCTACAGAGTGCGCCGAAGAATTTCTGGACATGGAAACGGAAGGACCAGTTATCGGATCATTTTTACTCACCCAGTAAGTACAATGATTAAACTCGGCAATATGATATATACTCGACTAATACAATGATATATAGTGTATCTTTTTATAATTGGGTTAAAACTGAAAAAAACTCAACAGAAATCTTTCTTTTAAATTTGTCGACGTTGCGCAAAATTGAAAAGAAATACTTCTGTCGAGTTTTTTTCGGTCCTAACACAATTATTATAAAAAACAGTACAGGGTGTCCCATTTTAGTTGATATCATACGGTATCTTCGTTATTAGTGATGATAGAAGGGTGTGGTTTGCACAAACCTGTCCCACTTTTTTGTCAAACGGAAATGCTCTAAACAAAATTTTCATATTTTTTTTAAATTTTTTCCTTTTTGAGCTACAGGGTCATTTTGAAAATTTTGAAATTTGGGACACTCCCTATATCTCTGTTATAGTGAAAGGTATCGAAAAGGTGAAAACTGTTTATTGTAGATCTTTTTACGTAGAATACAGTGGCGTGGTTTGTTAGTGTACGAAAAAAATATTTTTGAAAATATTAACTAAAGTTATGTTTTCTTAAATACCACAACATCCTGTATATTTATAAACTATACGATCTGACTTGCCATAAGCTTTCTAAAAATATATATCACTCTATATTTATTTTCACTATTTACTGCAATATTTAAAAGTTTTCATTAAAAGATAATTTTCATTAGGCCATGATGGATAATAAAAGAAACTAAAAAAAATATTAGAAGTATGCTGCTCTCTGTCTCTTGATTTATTTTGGAAGTCACTAATAAATTTTCTAGATATCAGAAAAAGCTTATCTCTTTACCGCTATTTGTAAATCTTGGAAGCTATCGTATCGGTATTTTTAAATATTCCTTTATCTAAATTACGTGAAATATACTTTCAGCAAGATGGGGTTCCGTCTCACAACTCTGAAAATATTAAAATTTTGTTAAATGACCTAGTTTCCCAAATCAATGAATTGGGACCAATATGGACCCATACAATGGCCTCCATGGTCCCCGGATTTGTCCGTTCTCGATTTCTGTAGTTACGGATTTTTAAAATATGAAATATATCGTGGCAACTACAACTTTGAAGACCTAGAAAATGCTATCAGGCAAGCTTTTAGATATTTGCAAACCCATCCCGTTATAATAAATCCCGTGATAAAAAATGAAGAAAAATGTAGAATATTCAGAGATTCAGTGGTAACAGTTTAAAAGTAAAATATTTGAGTCCCAAATAAAATTATAATATTTGTATGAGTGTTTTAGTAAATACCATTTTTACCATTTATCACGGCCTATTAATAAGAAACTAATATATTTTTTTAAATATTGCAGTAAATAGTGAAAATAAATATAGAGTGATATACATTTTTGAGAAGCTCATATCAAGGCGGATCATATGATTTATAAATATAGAGGGTGTTCCATTTGAAAAAACATAACTTTAGTTCATATTTTTTCGTATGAAAACAGACTACGCTACTGTATTCTACGTAAAAAGTTCTACAAGAATCAGTTCTGATAAGAAGAGAGAAGATGAGAAGGCCCTGTAACTCAGAAACTTAGAGGACTATGAAAATTTTGTTTGCAGTAACTTCCGTTTGAGAAAAAACTGGGACAGGTTTGTGCAAACCGCATCCTCCTATCTTTACTAATAACGGAGATTATGTAAGATTTCAACGAAAATGGGACACCCTGTGTACTTGGCAACCACCTGGCAACCATGTTGGCATAAACCAATCTGCCATTGGATAAAGAAAACTCTTAATTTTTATATTCTGACTATAAGTAACTTGTCAATTCCACAAGATCTCCACAACACCTTAGGTTAGGTTAGATATTCGATGTATTAAGCTGGCTCGCTGGCTAAGATGGCTCGTAAATTGCATTGGCATGTACCTAATATTTAGAGACAATAGATTTTTAGAATTTTCTAGTTTCTAAAATTACAAAAATATATTGAGGAAATTAAACACGCTTAGCAGTAGAATATATTATTTTAGGATTAATCATTGGGATACTGACAAAGAACGTCTTATACTCCTAACGCCAAAGATTCTACTAGTTGTAAAATACGACTTCATCGCACTAAAAAGATTAAGTTACAAGAAACTGCCTCTAGAAGATATAGAAGCCATCATCATCGGCGATTTGGTCTACCCAAACGGTTCCTTAATACCGTAAGTTAAAAATACTTTATACTTAAATACCTTTTAAAATAAATTTGTGTACCCCTAGAATATTTTTGTTGTTTTGTGACGTTTTTTTAATCTCCTTTTTCTTTACATGTAGCAAAATAAACGGATTGGCAGACGGGATTTCGAGCATGCTGGAAAATTGCTTTTTTAAGCTCTCATCTAACGACAATCAGCAAATTCAATCATTTTCATCCCCCACTAGGTATACTGTAATATTTATAGGTGTACAGTTTGCTAACCGGCGCTGCTTTCCATTGACACAATCATCACAACATTAATATCACGTTATTATTAGTTAGTCAAGAAAGATAAAAATATATAGTGTGTATTTAGAAATTTCGTACAGGGTTTCAGAGATATTTAGTACGATATTTTTGAGCATACCTATTGAAGGTAAATGTAAAAGACTTGTAAAGTTTTACCTGAATCGTCAGTTCGTGAAATAACAAAAAAATTCAACCAAAGATAATCAATGTATAACTTAATTTTTTATCACACTAAATATCTCTGAAAACTTACTAACTTACTCTGAAAAAATCCTTAAAATTTTGATCGATTTTTAAATATACTGATTAAACCAAAGTAGCTCAAGAACGGTTCACGCAAATATAGACAATTGAAATTGAAAGGAAAAATGCATTAGAATGTTTAGTTTGCACAATTTATTTATATACGATAAACATTTCTTTGTTAGAGTCAGCAGTAATAAAATCAAGTAGGTAATACAAAATTGTACTTTCGAAAGTTTCAGTCAATGGAAATCAAGATAATAGCATGCATAACGATCCTGCTTTAGTAGATATAGAATTTCTAAATATGATAAAAAATGTATATGGATTTAATGGAAAATAAATAATACGATTATAATTCTGTATAACGTGTTTCAGGGATAGAAATATGAAAGGAATACGAATATTGTTTGGTAAAGGAAGACCTATAAAACTATCTTCAAAATGGAATCCGTTTACTGAAGATTTGCCTATATGGACATTTACATATCATCCATTGTTTTTTCATAAGGGTAAGTAATACTGAATAGTTCATTTTATAAAATAACAAAACTGTAATTTTAAATAAGAAAATACATGACATCGAGGGTGATATATATATTACTTAAGCCAAAAGGAAATAATAATTATAAAAGAAGACAATCATTTTCAAAAATATTATGAAAAAAGGTTAATAAAAAAGCTAATAAAAAAAACCTAATGAATTATAGTTTATATGAAGCAAAGTTCGTTGCAAGTAAATCTCAAATCAAAAAATTATACAGGGTGGCACCTCGTTCGCCCCGGTTAATTATACAAAAGACGAAAAGATGTAGAAACAACATATTTTATGGGTATATGTGGGAGACAATGTGCATAATTTAAAATTATTTTGAAATGTACAGGGTGTGCATGCTATAATAGAAAAGTACAAATGTTATTTCAAATGCAACACTCTGTTTTAAAGTAGATTTAAATGCTCTTTCAAATTATTTTAGGGTTTCCTATACCTCTCAGGCTCAGACTTTGAATAAAATTGCAATTTTGCAATTGCAAACAAAATTGCGATTTTTCAATAATATGGCAATCAAGATGGCTGATGTCGCCATAGCGATTTTCTAGTGACAGTAGTTATTTTCAAAATCTACATTCATTTATGGACTTCATTTAAATTTATAACAGTTTACTTTTATTTAATTTACCTAACAGTAAGTATTTATTATTTTATCAAGAAAAATGAAGCAGTATCTGCTGGGGAAATTGGAACAACTTTCGTTGCACGTCATCAATGACACCATGCGTCGTCTTATGGAGTTTGCTGGTGGGGGTATTATCATAGTTTAAGGAAAAGAGTAGTTGCACTCTCGCAAATATTTTCTGCCTGTTTTTGCAATCTGTCGAATATCGGCAGATTGCAAAGCGTTTCAGTTGAATACCGTCCGTCGACCTGCGAGGTTCGAGCGTTGCGTCCCAGCACAGAGACGGACTGACAAAAAATGAGTGCCTTACTGTGTGCTGCTATTAATTGTAGTAATAATTCAAAAAATTGTTCTTTGAGTTTTTTTAGATTTCCATCGAATGTAAATCGGCAAGCTGATAGTAATTATTAATTAACATTTAATTATATTTGTTTATTTTAGAAGCTGAGATATTATGTAATTAATTAAATATTATTATTTTTTTAGCATGTGGGCACATTTTAAAAATAGTTCTTTAGATATACAGGTTGTCTCAAATATGCGCATGAGAATATTTTTTGGTCAGTGGATTTGCCATAAAATTTTCATTCCAATAATAATTTACGAGATAAGTGGTCGTAATATAACAATATTCAAAATATTATAGACAAAATATTGAGTTTATATTTGAGGGAAGAAAAGTGCCACACCTAGCTTTAAACCACCGTAAATATACAGGGTGGCCCATTAGTGCGAGGAAGTCCAATATCGTCGTCGTTGTCGAAGATGTGAAAAAAGTTTTATTCATATGTTTCAAGGGTTATAAAGGGGCGTATTCTAAAACATATGGTTATATACAGGGTGTCACAAAAAAAGTTATGGTAAAGTTAGTTTTTTTTTATTTATTTTACATCATTCTATATACATTATTCTATATAGGGTATTTTTTATGGCGTCACCAAAATCGGAATATTTAAAATGGTATATCTCAATTTTTTTAAAAGCAACATTCTGTATATTATTTTTCTGATGCAGAATTAAAAAGTGAATTTTTTTTATTTAAAGTGTTTCTAAATTTTTAACGGTTTCGCAGATATTCACGATTATTATATTACAGATGGCTCTTTCAACAGTAAATTTTTATCAAAGCCACCTAATATGATATTTTATCGTTGAAAATCCCATATGTAATACAGAAAATATTTGCAAAACTATTTGATAAAATAATAAATACTTATTTATTGAAACTATTGTAGGTGTTTTAAATAAAAGTAAACGCCTACTAAAAATACCTGGTGTTCCATAAGGAAAAATATAACTTTGGTATGGATTTTACTTACCCTGTACATTTCAAAATAATTTTAAATTACGCACAATGTCTTCCCACATATGCACATAAAATATTTTGTTTCTACAGCTTTCCGTTTTTGTATAATTAATCGAGGCGAATGAAGCGCGCCACCCTCTATATAAAAAATTCTTTTATTTTTTTATTCACCTCGGAACTTTTTAGTGCTTAATCATTTTATACATTTACATATAATAAGCCATTTCATATGACAATAGACTGTTATTTATATTCAAAACTACATTGTTTTTGCAATTTTTAGAAACCGTCTATCGAAATCGTATAATAATTGCATCAACGGTAGATATTATATCTATGGCGTATCCAGCAAAATAACATAAATTACAGACAATTGCTACCCCCCTTTTATGTGCAATAAAAATACAACCCCCTCATTGTCATAATGATCGACAACCATTACTGAAAATTGGTTAATGCAGATATTGAACCAATATACCTAATTATGTATATTACAGATTGTACTGACGAAAACCTACGAAAACTGTACGACCTAGAAAACTTCATCGAACATTTCTGCAAGACAATCATCGACTTCGGCAAAACCTACGAATCTCGCATCCTCCATTCCAACATTTTGCTGGAAAACTACATCGGCTTCGGCGCCATCATTCACAATCGCCACGACTTGGGCTACTTCAAGGTGAGAGGCAAATTCAGCTTCTGAATCAGGCTTACCTCTTTACAATCTGAATGTGATATTTATTTGGTCAATTATTACGTGCGCTGGTGTCACTTTATATATTCCTAGATATATGAATAAATATGAAGTATATAATATATATTTACCTGAATTTTGTACGTGATTACAGAATACGAAACTTGATCTAAAGTTTCTATTAAAAATATTCTTATACTTTGATATCAGTACATTGCTGTTTCATCTTTAAAACTATTCAATAGAGAGATAAGAGCCCGTCAAATATAAGATGATGAACGTATTTGGTAGAAATGAAGTACTAAAATACTCTAGACAATCTAGACAGGCACAGCGTTGCCGGCCAAGTTTAAAAAACCATTTACATACGTATTTTATATATCAAGTAAGTCTTAAAAATTTACCTATTATCGCCATACAGATGGCTTCACATTCAACTGTACAAAAAAAGGAGAATAGCTCTGCCAAACGTTCTTGACACTGTTGAGAGAAGGTCATAACCATGACTAAGGTCCACCATGGCAAAGTTAAATAAAATATGAAAGGATATCTTTGTCTTAAAGGACATTATTGCTTAATAACATGGAATTTTTGAATATGTGGATATTATCAAACTTGATCCGCTAGAGATGAGTGTAGAGGAGGCACTTCAAAACGCCATTGACTTTAACTCGGTCTTGATCGATCATTGGCTGTTCATAAAACAAAGAAGTCGATGGATTGGATTTCGGTTCCTGTTTGATCCCTCACTCGGAGGCCTTGGGCCCATTGCAATACTCCTGGATGATTGTACTAAACCTTTCTCTCATTCTTTCTTTGCGTTAAAGCACTTCCAGCTCTTTGCAAAGTTCCCGATGTCGCTGATGTTGGCTTCTGCAGCTTCCTCTAGTCCCTCCTAAAATCGTGCGCTAAAGTTTAAAGCAACGGTTTTCCAGTGCTGGAAAATGGCATAGCAGGTGCTCTACGGTTTCTTCTTCCTTTCCGCATACTCTGCAGTAGTCGTAGGAAATCTTCCATCTCACAAGTTTTACCCCCGTGGAGCAGTTTCCAGTGACGACACCTACAATTATGGGTACTAGGTTCTTTTTGTGATCTAGTAGCTGTTTTGTCTATTTGCTATCTACCACAGTCTTCGAGCTGTAGGGCAGTCCTCACGGTGTTGTCATGTCTCTTGCTGGTTGGCTTTGATAGTAGTTCCTGTAGCTTCCTTCAGTGTGTTGATCGTCACAAGTGGTGAGTTATCTACCACGGCCTCTCCCCTAGTTGCGTCTATGGCTAGTCTGTCCGCTCATGGTTCTCCACCACACTGGTCTAGCACCCCGCCTTGACGCAGCCAGGACAGTGCTTCTCGGCAGTCCATCACAGATTTTGATCTCATTGATTGCATGGTGATGCTTTTTAAAGCGTCCAAGCTGTCAGGTATCTCCTATTGATTAAGTTAGGACTTAGCACTTTTTTATCAGCGATTATCTCTCGTATATAACTGGTTGCTTCCTCAGTTCCAGTGTACTTATTAGAGATAAATATGTATGATTAGTCTACGTTTTGTGGTGGTAGTGTATAAGGGTATGTACAACAACGAACACTTAAAACAACACACTGTGGGCATGTACTTAGAGAAAAGATGACAAATGTGAAAAACTCATTGTAAAGTGGAAGAGAAAAAATACTATGTTTTATAAAACCTTGGCTTGGTCAAGTAAAACAATTTTCTGGAACATCAATGCAGGAAAAAATAAGATGAATTGTGAATAAAGACCCCCCAGTTTAGAAAAATCACTGATAACATAAGAACAAGATTAAGATCAAGCCTATTAAAGATATGAAGTAATAAGTTTAGACAGAATATAGATTTTTCTCTCGATTACTTAATACTTTCACAGCAATGATCTGAGAGAGGATCTGAGAAAGTCTATAGACATCTCTTTAAATGCGAAAATTAACAAGAAAGAAAACTATTATATATACGACCAGCAGATACTTGTTTACTGCGAATCAAAAGATAACATTGCATCGAGACATTCGCATATCACCTTGTATTTGACGGACTGTATCTATACATATCAATGACCAGTCTTATGTAAAATAGATATATGTATCTAGAAAATATACATAATTGAAAAATATATTCTTCTATAGGTCTTATCAGGTTGAATTAGAAAGAATATAAAAGATAAGATGATTTTTAACTGAGATAGTTTGAAAAGATAGATATAAAATACTAAATTACATGTCAACACGTTCTTGAGAGATCTCTAAAAATATTACTTTATACAACTACTTTATACAAAGAATGTTTTTATGAAATTTTTAAACAAGAGCAATTGACTACTATATGAATGACTTTGGATTTCCAATACGTTCATTTTTAATAGTTTTAGTACAACGTTTCGATTTGTAAAAATGTGTTTAGAGTCATATAAATGATTACTCGATTGTTGCCATACTAATACTGATTTATTCTACCTTCGTATAATAAAAATTCATAATGTTCGATGGATTATTGCTATGGTTGTATAACTACAAAATTCAGTCTTGTACCTAGACTGCAAAGGCACACACTGCAAAGGTTACACTGCAAAGAATAATTCTAGATTTTGAAGCTATCGAAATGATATGATTCTCAAATACAAGGTAACGAAAGTCCAAAGTCATAATTTATTAGTGAATCATTATACAGTCGATCATTTCTATACAGTCGCTCTATTTATCGAAATAAAAATATTTATCTAAATAGAGCATCAACTAATCAGCTTAGGGAGGCAATGGCAAAGCACTTGCCTATATTTCACTAGTAAAATCTCCCAATAAGCGTCGTTTGTATTCGAGGATGTAATTTAGACCCCGTGTACTTGTGAAAAGCTGATGACATACATGACAAGTACGTGCTAGAAGTTAACTAACTGTTATTTAGTTTACTATAAGAAGTATTAAAGTATTATACATACTTTAGAACTATGAACAAATGATATTTATGGGAACATAAAAACATTATCAGCCGAACTCTATATTTAAAAGTCCAAAAAACAAATACAAAAAACAAACAAAAAAGTCGTATTCTGTAATGACCTTTAGACCTCCTACCGTTGATTGAAAGAATTCGGAAGATACGCAACCTAATGGGCGAATTCGTGACAAGGCTGATGTGATTTCCCCTTACGTCTCAAATGGTGTACGGTGGAGCTACCAATCGTTCTGTAGCCAACGCATAATACACTTATTTTCTCTTTCTCTTCAGTGAAGACATTATATATACTGAATATTTCGTATAATCGTTTAATTGTTGACTTGGAAATGACGATTATTGACATTTACCATAATATTTTACATATGAAATAACAGCCATCTTCATTTTCATCCCAACTCTGACGCCATTCTTTTTTTAATCATATATTATATTAAATTTTTTAATGTTAGAAAATCCGTATTATTAACGTACTGTACCAAAAACTTGTAAATCTAAGGATTAATCCGTAGTTCTGGCAACACCGTCTCCGGCAACCACTCACTCTCTCGACTGAAATCAGAACTACGGTACTACTAGTATTCTTGATATGGTGCGCTGTAAACGACATCAGTGCGCAGCGGCGCGGCGCAGAGCTAAGCTAAATCTCGGACAGGCTGAGGGTCCCGCCAGCTACATCTCGGACATGTTTTGTGCCACGAAATCGCCCGTAAGGTCGCGCATCTTCTTATTTCTTCAACCAACAATCCCATGATTACTATAATAAATGTTAAGTGGTGTGTGTAAATATATAATTGATGTGGCCTATATTTATCTGATGTGCATGCAAATGCAGCTGCCTATTTTGTGTGTAGTTTAGAGCAGTGTCATAACATATATACAGGGTGACAAAAACACATGTGTGTTTTGTAATATGCATATACCTATAGAATTCAAAGCCATGGATTCGAGAATAAAATTATTTTTCTTATGAAAATGGACTAATGAAGTCACAGGAAGCATACTTTGCCTAAATATAAGTATCAGTTCTTGAGAATATTTTATTACCTGATTTCCTGTGTTCTGATTATTATTTATTTTTTAACTTCAAATTATAAAACTAGAATTGCAAAAAAGAGGTTAAAAAAGAAATATATAAAGAAAGAATTAAAATAGAAATAAAAGACAAATGTAATATTTTGATTATGTAATTTGTTATCTTCATGTAAGCACTCAATAAATAATAAAACCGTATTAACACAGATACAATATGTAATTTTCACGTTAGAAGATTGTTTTTTTTTATTTGAAAAAGTACAACAGAAAATTTAATATTTTAGAACTTAACAAACATCTACAGAGTAATAATTTCTGAAATTATTTTCTATCTATTTACAAGTTATACATGTACTACTATCACCAGTAAAGTTTTAATCTAATGGTGATCACAGAGAAAAACGAAAAAATATATAATTTTTCGATCGCCGTAAAAATGTTAGTACTTAAGTATATGTGGGGTAAATCTTCATGTTTCGGTGTAATGTGTAACAATTTTTGGCACATAAGATACATATGTAAGAAAAGAATTTCTTGATGTTGTATTTGGTAACAATATTTTTATTTTTATATTAAGATAAGTATATTTTATTTCATATACTTAAGAACTATAGACATATCTAATACCTTCAGTCCATCTTATCCATTTAGAAATAATACCCAAATAACTATGAAAACATTTACAAATGTAAAAAGAGTAATAAAAAAAATAAACAAAATATACAATATAAATGTATAGTTGTAAAAAAGATACGTGTACTGTGGCAAAATCATTTCAAACCCAAGCTAATATGTTATTTATGTGAAATTTAAGGATTTGTTTTATGGAAAAGTTTATAGCAGATTGTTTTACAATTTGTTTCGAGATATTTACAAGATAATGGAACACCATGTTATATATTATATATTTTTTATAAATTGTTTTTTTAATTATGTTATTTGTATAAAATAAATAATTGTGCTAAAAATAATTTGTAGTTCTTTTATTAATATTAAACCTGGATCATTACCGATCCGTTTAGTAAAAATATGTCCCATAAAATAATTAGGATACTAAGCATTGCAATATCCCGAACACAAATTCAAACATGAATTTTGATAACAGTTTAAAATATATGTTATAAAACTTAAGCTATATTAACATCTCGTATTTTATGACCTAAGTTGTTTACAACTAAATATTTTGGAATAAATTAACAATCCAAAGGAGTTAATATTGAATTATTTCCATGTAGAGCGTTCTATGTTTGAAATAATTTGCCTTAAAGAACACACATCTATTTGCACATCGTTTTGGAGGATAGACGAAAAAAATAGAACAAGAGCACGAGAGCACAACTTAACATGACATTACTATACTAAGGGCTGGCAAAGGTTAGTCTTGGGTCGAGATTTCCGTATGTAAGAAGAGTACAATGCGTTTATAATGTATTGAACAAAGAGGGAACAGTAAACACGTTGCCAAACGCACGAAATAAATCGAGAATATGTGCACATTGCTAAGAGACGTGGAAGGGGATATAGCAGATTTGTCGCAGCCCACTGGTCGACCCAATCAGTACCTCTGTCAGTACCTAAAGTTCTATGGAAAGGTGTACATCATGCGTTCAGCTTCACGATTTAATAACGTCTCGCGATACTTTATTTGTTTATTTATTAAGGAGACTTTGTAAATTTTCCCCAGAGCTTGAAATTTTTTAAGTGCAAGCTAGAAACACATGCATTTTTGGTAAAAATAAGTGAAATTGAGTTAGTGTTCGACAGTGGTCGCGCTATTAGAACTCTGAATGCAAAATGAATCGATATTTCAAAATCTATTAAAAACAATTTGATTGTAGTTTTTTCAAAAACTTTCTTAACATTTCTGCTATATTTTCTCCGCAGACAGTATGTGAAAATATTTATAAATAAAAAACTTTGATTGCTAAAAATTGCTGTGGACTAGAAGTAAATGGATGGGTTGTTAAAAAATTTTGAATAGAAAAAAACAACCTTATCGAATTTTTCTTATTTAAACATATTGTAAAAGATCCGATCTTTTAAAAAAAAAGTTTCAATATCTAAAGTGGTTCTTAAGTTATGGCGTGTTATGTGTTAAAAAGTTGAGTTTTTAAATTATCGCGATTACTGACGTTTTATCGTTATAAAAAAGGATACACTAATGATATCCTAATTCCATTACAGATGCTCAGAAACATATCTAATGATTTTATCTAGTTATCTTTTCGAAACAAAAAGTCGTTTAAAAATAAGCGGCTTGCGGTTGTGATTTTACTTTACCTGATAGGGAAAGGCGTACCGGCACCGTCGCATTTCTCTCACTCTGACTTAATTAGATCCCTATGCGATTTATTTCCACACATGTAAGTTCGGTCCAAAAAGTAACAGTTGCCAGCACGGTATTATGTGATTTATTATACCAATATGAGAAATTTATTATATAGTGTGTGTAAAAAATTCGCAACCAAAAGCATCTTTTTATTATTCAATTATTATTGAGAAAGAGTTTATGAAAAATCAATTGAATGACACCAATCACAATAAATACATACAGTCAAATATACAAAATAGATGTTAGTAATTTTCCTAGATAATTTCAAGGAATTTGAAAAATAGATTTTTTACGATTCACGTAATAAATAAAAAAACTCCACAATACCAAACTTGCTGCTATGAAATAGAAATCTATAAAGCATGGCAAGTTAACTACAGAGAAAAAAACTACTTGTATCTTCAACCATAAATTATTTTTAACAATTCACTAGAAAATCAAATTTATTTAAAACATTATAAAATAATGTTTAATGTTCTTTTACCTTGTTTTAAAACAGTATATATTTTTCAAAATTAGTATCATACACGTAACAATATCGTCAATTAACCCTACTTTTCATATCTGTAAAATACTTTTTTAATTACCATGAACCAAACATGATATCTCAAAATGATGTATTTTGATATTGGGTTTGATTCCATATAAAATTTTAACAATGAGAAATTCATAAGAAAATATCATTTGTCGCAAACTTTTTGGGTGACACTAACTGGTGATTGGGATAGTTTTCAAGGCAATTTAAACATGTTAATGAACTAGGTAAGATTAGCTTTCAGAGCATATTTTATAAGGAAAGTATCAATGCGCAAATAGATGAGTTGATGAGTCTTTATATGATATATATTGATAATCATTGTATAAAATAAAGCCAACTAAAATGTTTATTTCACAATCATTCTCTTGTACAATATACCAATTTGGTCATCGAAACTGCGTGGTCTGGATTTTAGCGTGTAAGACAGTGATGTAGGCAGCTTAATGGAAAATCAAATGTATTAAAAAGAGATAAAAGTTGGGTTGATACATTTCTTCTATGCGGTATTGACGGATTTTGCATCAAAAGTTCAAACCGCACAAGAAGGCGTTTATGGAAAATGTTGCATCTAGGGTTGGAACCTTATTTTTCACAATTAGTTACTTATTTTACATTTTACTACAGATGTAACAGATTATATTTAGCTTAGATATATTATCTTCATTTCAGTAGTATACATGAAAGTTTTTAAAAATTTTTATCTACACAAATTTTCCTACAAACGCAAAAACCGGCAACACAGTATGCCGCTTTTGATTTTGTCTCTCTGTCTGTCGACCGGTTATTTATATTATTCTCTATCTTACACAAAAGAGAGACAAAATAAAAAGCAGCATACAGTATTGTCGGTTTGTACGAGAAATAAAATAATAAACGAAAATAATATATCTCAGTTGTTCATTCAATAATGCTCATTTCTGTTAGACAGTTGTTTAAGAATCTATTACAGCTGTAGTAAAATGAGTAACTGATTGTGAAAAATAGAGTCCCAACCTTAAATGCAACATTTTTCGTAAACACCTACTTGTGCGGTTTGAAATTTTGATGTAAAATCCGACAATACCGCATAGAAGAAATGTATCAACCTAGCTTTTATTTCTTTTTAATACATTTGATTTTTAATTTAAGCTGTCTCCATCACTGTCTTACACGTTAAAATCCAGACCACAAAGTTTCGATGACCAGACCGGTATAAACGATGTGACATCCAGATATACTATTTTCTCTATAAATTAATGTAAAAAAAATATTTTAACCAGCAATACAGAAATAGGGAAAATGGGCAATAGCGTTAAAATATTTTGAATTTGGTTTTTGTTTTATTTTCTAGCAAAAAATTAAATAATATAATCAAAATAATAAAGAATATAGGTAGTTATTTTATGTCAAAAGTATAAGATGCATCGTTGTCAATTCCCATCCCTACTACCATATCTCCGATTTTAACAAAAACTAAATTTTAAGTACACACAAACAAGTTTTCCTTAAAATAATATCATAACGTTAAGAATATAAGTACAAATATTAATTACAAAATGTGAAAGTATTGCACAGAACATCAGAGTATAAAAAACTTACTACAATCCAAAATCAGGGCAATATAAAAATATGATGCATTTCAATTACAACATAAGACATAACTTTTTATTTGAGAACTTAAATAATAATAAATTATAAATTAACGGTAATAATATAAAGTTTGTTAAGCAAACAGAGTTTTTAATAGTGTCTTTGGCTTTTAAACTACCAACTTAGTTGTTGTTAGAGTAACAAGTCAACATGTTAGAGAGAGCTGCCTAACAATACGAGTAAAATCACAAACGTCAGTCCAATTTTTTAATTATTATTAAGCACCAAACATAAAGAAATCTCTACAAAACGTTTTTTAAACTTAATATTAACATACATTCAAAGGTAAGACAAAATAAAAAATAATAAACAAATTATTCTACAGGCACGTTTTGTTTTTTAGTCTTGGAAGAATTACTAATTAATAAACTTTACGTTAGAAGTGGAGATAATTTCACTTTATTATGTAATTATGATTATATATGCAATGGACACTTCTTAGACAATTTGCAAATAGTGGGATGTATAATTTTAGAAACATATAACAATTTAAGGCCTAAATGTTAAAATAGAAATTTAAGAAAAATAGAAAAAAAAAATATTTTCTATAAAATAAAATTAATAAATTCTTATCTAGGACGGTTGTAAATAATATAATTCATTCATTTGTTACAACTATATCAAATTGACTTTAAAAAATCAATACAGTACTAATCCAAACAGCAAATATGCAAATATATGGAATATTTCATAGAAACCATAATACCAAGTTAAATAGTTAAAAAGAAATATTAATGCTTTCTATGCAAAGTAAATTGAAAATATTTATTTCATAAAAAAATCTATTAAAGTTAACATACCGGGTGTGTCTCACCTCTATAACTTTTTTTATATTTTCAGATAAAAAAAACGAGATTTGATATGTTAGTATATGATATAAATTAGGATTGATTGATGTATTCAATTCATTTTGGCCACTTCCTGTTTCACCGGAAATGAACACAACTTTTGAATTTTAAATGACAGTCTCGGTTTTTTACTTTATTTGATAGAAAATGATACTCTGAATAAAATGACATATGTCAACTTTTGACACTTCCGCTTAAAACAAAATTAGTTAGTTTAGTTTAAAGTATTTTACATTTCAATTTAGAGTGTCAAAAACACTAATTTTAAATCAAAAAGCCTTGAAAAAATAGATTTGATCGTCTAGTGTTTATAGTGTATTGTCCTGGCCAGTTGAAAAATGCCCAAATTGTATTTTTAATCATATCTCAATTTGTTCAAATGGAACGAAGGAGGCTCATTAGCATATTTTGAAAAAGCAATTTTTTACAAATAATTTGGTACCACAGACATGATATTTCGAGTCAAGTGGTCGCTATCAACCGCATATTACAATATCAAATAAACCATATGCGAAAATGTCAAAAGTTGACATATGAAATGTCATTGTATTCAGAGTGTTATTTTCTATCGAATAAAGCAGAAATATACCGAGGGTGCCATTGAAAAATCAAAAGTTGTAGTAATTCCCAGTGAAACAGGAAGTGACCAAAATCAGTTAAATACGTCAATCAGTCCTATTTTATGTCATATACTAACGCACCAAATCTTGTTTCTTTATCTAAAAAAAATAAAAGATTTATAGGCGTAAGCCAGTTTTGAGACGCACACGGTATATACGTAATTGATACATAAATAATACCAAAAATATTTGCTCAGTTAAATTCCTTTTTAGCTTTTCCAAGTGTTTAATATATTGCTGAACAATGTTTCTTCTATGAAGTTTGTTGTATATAGAAAGACCTCTAAATAACATCTTTACGAAAACATTGTTTTATATACAAAATATATTGAGTGATGGATTTTTCAACCAAAAAATAAAGTAAAACTTAAACAATAACGAGTGATTTCTATTTTTATATACAGTATACAGTAAAAAAGAGTCTAAGAATGTTTACATGTGTATGAACAATGAGTAAATCTTTTAAAAGTGAGTGTGTCATATATAGTTACAACCATTACTTCAAGTATCCTTAAAATATCTTTTATATCACTTACTTTTATTTGCTCTTGTCTATAAACAGTATTTAATAACAAGAACGCACTTGTAGGTATTCTAAATCAAATAGAGACAAATAAAACTTTCATATATGGCTTTCTTCAATGTCATTATATAAACATAATATATGAGTTATAGTTTTAATGTTTCTTGTTTCTGGTGCATTTTAATCAAAAAATTATTTGCAGTGAAGGTCAGGAATTATATTGAAAATAATATCTGATGAAAATAGAGTAAAATTAAAATTCATGATACTTTGCAAAATTTTTATTTTTTTACTTTCTATATTGAGTTTATTTGCAAAAGAATGGGTTGGTTTATACTTTAAAGCAAAATGATCCAAAATTAATTTCTTTTTGAAGTGGTAATAAATGAGAACTAAAAAATATGCATTTTTTTCATAATATCACAGAATATGAAGCGCATTTTCTATTTAAAAATGTTTTTAATCTACAGTGTGTCCCGATATTCCGTGGACATAGAACTTCATTGGGTGGTATTTTTTGGTAACATAGTATTTTTGGAATCAAAATAAGTTGACTGGACACAATTTACCTCTATACAAAAGTGCTTCGTTTTTCCGTTAGAGGGCATCAAACTTTACAAAAATAAACACTTTTTAAGATATATTAAGAACTGATATTCGGATTTAAATGAAATTTGGGGTGCCTATCTTTTACTAAGCGGGAAGTAATACGAGAAGGGTGAAAACTACCCCCACCCCAACAAAAGTTCTAGAAGAAATATTTTAGCTCCAATGATGACTCATTTAATTTACGTAAAATTATCCTCCTAGTATTTAATACATATTTTGTCTCTTGTAAAAACGCAACCCCGCGTATTTTTTGAAAAAACATTGAGATTTTATTCTCTAAAGCGGACCTGCAAAATATACAGGCAGTCCCAATATTCTGTGGACATAAACCAACTACGTATAGTTGAAATAAAAATAAGTTAATTAGTAATTATATTTTAAGTGCTTTGTTTGTTCGTTAGAGGACCACCAATCAAAAACAAACCCCAACTTTAATTAATTAATTTAAAATTTATTGCCAAACATCATTATTTGTAATATAAACATCACATTCCACTTTCGGCAACTAGATTATTAGTGCATAGCAGATTTTATTAGCCTACTTAGCTTGATGTAAGAAATATTTTTTGTAAATCAGCTTCGAAAAAACATTTTTTCACAAAAGTATGCCAGGTGACGTTTTTTACAAAAAAAAATCAGTGGTCATTGGAGTTACACTCAGATGCAAAAAAACGCAAGGGAGACATTTTTGGTCAAATTTAAAGTGTTATATTTTTGTTATTTTTAGCCTTATTTTCATAAATTTTTTAGCAGGTTGTATATAATTATGTCAACTTTAATTCGTAAACACTTTTTTTTATAAACTTTAGTATTTGGCATATTATACAGGGTTAATCGGTGAGTTGTTTTTTACCCTAACTTTAAAACACCCTGTGCAATAATTTCGTGTATAAATTTTCCTAAAATATAATTTTACGGCCAGAACCATGTCTCCTGAGTATTGTGATTTTTGTCATATGTCAGTACATGCCTTTGTTAATTTTTAAGAGGAAAATGAAGTTGCCACCAACAATTTGCAATTTCTCCAATTATTTCTTTTTGAAGTTATTTTTTAATATGACAAGGCGGCTTAGGTGATTATTGTAAACTATATACTTCTATGAACTGCCAATCATGTTCGACGTTTGGGAAATGCTTGGTAGGAGGGTTAGAGGTCGCGAAGCAGTACCAGCTTCATTAAATAAACTTCGCTTGGTCCTTAAAGAAGAGTGCGAAAACATAACACAATATGATATATGCAGCCTATATAAAATTCTGTTTGTATACTTGAGTATTACAGATGATTTCTTTAATATGTTTGGTTCTGTTATCGTTATTAATGTTTATTAAAACAAGGACTGTATCTTTAGTCTTTAACGTTGTTTTTTTTTAATTTAGTAAAGATTATCCAATGCAGCGGGATATGACGTTACGATAATATGACGTCACTAAAACCATCTCGTTATATTAAAAAATTACATCAAAAAGTAATGATAATTGAAGAAACAATTGCAAATTAGTTTATTTTTATTATCAGTTTATTTCGCTCTTAAAAATAAACCAAAGCATATATTGACATTAATCAAGAAACAAAATGCTCAAGAGTCATGGTTCTGACCGTAAAATTATATTTTAGGAAAATTTACAAACGAAATTATTGCACAGGGTTTTTTAAAGTTAAAGTAAAAAAACAACCCCTCGATTAGCCCTGTATAATATGCCAAATACTAAAGTTTATAAGCACCATAGTTTACGAATTAAAGGTGATATAATTATATACAGCCTACTAAAAAAATCATGAAAATAAGGCCAAAAATAACAAAAATATAACGCTTTAAATTTCACCAAAAATTTCTCCATTGCGTTTTTTTTTGCATTTGAGTGTATATTCAGTCAAATGCTAAAGTGCTTAACAAAACATAGGCATTTCAATCAAATTTAAATAATTAAAATTCTTAGGGTTCTTAAAATTAAAAAAAAATATTTATTTGTGTAAATTTTGATGCCCTCTGAGGGACAAACGAAGGACAGGTAGATAAGGTAGAGGAGGATAGAGGTAAATTGTGTTCAATCAACTTATTTTGATTTCAAAAATACGTAGCAGTTGACGGAATATTGGGACACCCTGTATTTAGAAAAAAAAATAATTCAAAAACGTTTTACCTTTTACCTAAATTTGTTTAGTTTTCTTATATAGTAACTTCAAAAATATATTCTCAAGAAATTAATCAACTGATAATTTTTCTATGTACTATCTTGTTATTAAACTACTATTTCAGATTGTTTCCACTACGTTTATCCACTGATCACTTCCAACCAATAATTTTACCTTATTCATATCGTCTTATCTTCCAAGATTCGAGACCGCACCGAAAACTTAACCCTACTTATATATCACTGTCGGGATCGGTCTCGCTACGAGGCTGCCCGAAGTTCCTAGTGATGCTCTCGCTCATCGAGCGAATGTTCGCGAGATGCACGTCACTGACTGGCACGGAAAAATAGTTCAGTCGGTCCAGGTCGGGCACGGCGTTCAGATCGTCGTCCGTCCTGTAGCAGTTGTCGTACTCCGAGTCGTAGAGGGCGCTGAGCGAGTCGAGGGACATCATGGCGTCGGAGTCGAAGATGCGCGACGACGCACGCGAGGACATGCTCGTGTTGTCGTCCATGTCGCAGTCATGGTTGTGGTCATTGTAGGCTGAGTTCACGTCGCTGAGAGCGCCTGGAAATAAATATACCTAATAAGACTATGGTTACTATATAATATACATTTTAAGGCGGAGATTGACTTGAGCCAAGCGCTGTAATGTAACGCTTGTTCGCTGATCGCATCAAAACGCAAAAATCTCGTTTCGCATGCTCGGCTGGTTGTGCTCAAGTATTTTTTCAGCCTTTAAGGTCAGATGCCCGAAAGAACTGCGCTACAGCTCGAAGAACTGTGGTCAGTGGTAGATAGCAAAAGACAAAACAACTACTAGAGCACAAAAAAAACTAGTACACATAATTGTAGGTGTCATCACTGGAGGTAAACGGAGCCTCACGGAGGTAAAGCTCGTGAGATCGAAAATTTCCATCGATGACTACTGCAGAGAATGCGGAGATGATCACAGAGCACCTGCTGTGCCACTGTTCGGCACTGAAAGACCGACGCTTTAAAACTTTAGAGTAAGGCTTTTTGGAGGGACTAGAGGAAGTAGCAGAAGTCAACACCAGCGGCATCGGAAACTTTACAAAGAGCTGGAAGTACTTTAACGCAAAGAAAGAATGGCATGAAGGTTTGGTACAATAATACAGGGGTATCGCAATAGACCCAAGCCTCTGAGTGAGGGATCAAACATGATTCCAAGCCCCAGCAACCTGACCTAAGATCAGATGAAAGGATAATGCTAATAATATATAGCTAAAAAGTTTATCCAAACTTCTTAGCTATTTATTATATTTCTTACACCGCCAGTTAACAAAAGCATATTTGACCACAATTAAAATCACTGAGTGCATCTACTAGAATTATGATTGGGATACGGACGATCGCCAAACCTGTACTGATTTGTAATGTAACAATCAATGGGATTCTCTAAATAACCTACAGTCGAGTGGACCACCGTCGTTGTTCGCGAGCTGCTCGGTTCACTGATTATTTCCCAGCATTGACTATTGAATGCTCGTGTTATTAAGCGTTGCATTACAACACTTGGCTCAAGTCAATCTCCGCCCTTACACACAGCAAAAATATCAAACACATTAATACTGTATTGATTACTCGTGTATACCAGCGTGTGAAATAAATGTTTTGGTTAGGATTAGATCATATTAAATATGAACCAAAAAGATTAAATTTCTACAAAACTATCCATATACGGTCTACGAAATCACAAGTTTGTGATCTATCATAATATCGACCGAAGCTTAACATTATATCAGAGTGTTGTCAATCATCAGCAAAAGAGATAAATGTTACTCATGCCAGTTAAAAATCATTCCTTGCTTATGAAGCTTATAACCTTTTATTTTGTGGGAAGAGGCTAACTCTTTTACCTCTCTGAGCTAAATATGCCTTTTCAATATGCAAGAGATTTGTAGAACTCATATAGATCCCAATGTAAAATGCTTTAAATCGTTTCTCTTTAGATTGGGAAGTTAGATTTTTGTTGACCAACAGTTTCTTTCGGGCTTATCTTTGATTAGAGTGTTTCTCTAATAGAGTACCATTGGGTTTTTACTTCAAATAGGATGTGGTCTTACAAGTGACTTTTTGTGATGCCATTGAAAGGTTCGGATACGCAGGATAAAGGATTAGCCCGAGCAGATTAAAAATATCTGTGAAATATACAGTAGAAATGTACCAACCATAGTTTCTCTGTTAGTGTTTTGAGAGATCTCTATCAGAAACATAAAACAAAACGTATATATCCATAAACATTAATAATAAAATCCAATGATATAGTGATTTTAAAATTTTACATGTTGGTACACACGAGTCGTCATTACTGGTAGATAAGGATGAAGACCATTTACTTCTAATTTATATTTAATTCTCTAATTATGTATATTTTAAAAAGGTTAGACTGCCTGAATAGGCGTGTTATTTATTTTTGAAATAAAGACAAGGGACGTGCAACAAAATGGTTTTATAAACAAAAACCACATCGTTTACTATCTTCAGACAAACTACATAATAATTTAAAGAAGGCGTCCATTCTTCTCTAAGAAATTAAAAAGAAGTATAAAAAGACAACCTAACCTGACCGAGACTTTGAGTCTTTTTATACTTCTTTTTAATTTACATAATAATTTACGACACCAACCCTTTAATGATACTTAGAGGGTCAAAATGTATAAAAGAAGTCTATTCGTTTCTAAAATAATATACGTTATTCAAAACTTGCCTTTTATTATTTTATAAAATAAAAAAAAACTATTAGTCCTCGGCTTATTTACTTCCAGCAAGTCATCTTCACATGTTTTTGAATATTCGCGTATCACTGCAGCGTTTGATATTCTATACTTACAAGCAGTAAGTCTCAATCGTTTTTATAAAGACAGCTCCAATGGAGCTCAGGACCCGACTTGTTACATAAGATAAGCGAATGTCTTAGGTACGCAAATCATCGTATGCCGTCAGGCGGTCTATGAATAAGCTGTGATTAGTTAGTTAGATTATTAAAATCATTTAAATATATTTAACCTGAAAAAAATACAAATTTTCCTGTTTTCGTGAATGATTAATCATATTTGTTGTTTGTCGAATTATCAATCAAAATCAAGTGGACACAGCGATGGATACAGCAATGGTAAGAGGAATGTAGGGGCTAAAGGTCTGTAAGAGAATGATCGTTCTAAGAACGAACTTTCAATTGACCTCATATTGTTAACATACTACAATGAGATAAGAATACACTAAAAAGCATTATGATCTATAATGGCTGGACCATAGACTTAATTGACTTGTTATTGTTGTGTTATTGTTTTAGGTTATAACGAGTGCGACACGAGCGATAGATAGGTTGTCTCTGTCGTAACGGTCGTTCCCTGACGACTCTGACGAGAAATGCAACACTGTCTTTCGTTTCTCAAGTACACCTGAACTCTCCGTATCATAGCCGGGTAATTTTTTTATTTTAATGAAGCTATAATTAAATTAAAAATATATCGTATTTAAACTTTTTTATATTTTATTAAGATTTAGGACAGGTTTTTTAAATAAAAGTTTAGAAAAAACAATTTAGAGTCCAAAAATAAAATACACGTTATATAAGAAATTTTATAATCGAAATTAGGTAATTTTTGAAATTAATAATAAATTATTAATTTTAGTCAAACATTTACAACCCCTAATATTAATGAAAACAGGATCTATTCCACAGATATAATAGAATCGGCGACAGAGAGAGAAAAAAAAATATGATTGTTGTAATTTTTTTTCTGGTTAAGTGATGTCTTATTATGTAAAATAGAGAAAACATAAATCTGTTCCATTAAAGCAAGGAAGGTGATAGGAAGGGGATAAAATGAAAACTACATTTATTTAACTCGGTACTGTCTTTATTATACCGGGTGCGTCCCAAAAGTGGCTCAACCCCATAATTTTTTTATATTTTCAAATAAAAAAACAAGATTTAGTATGTTAGTATATGACATAAATTAGGATTGATTGACGCATTCAATTGTTTTTGGTCACTTTCTGTTTCACCGGAAATGACTATAACTTTTAATTTTTAAACGGCACCCTCGGTATATTTCTACTTTATTTGATAGAAAATGACACTCTGAATAGAATGACATATCATATGTCAACTTTTGACACTTTCGCATATGGTTTAATTGTAATTGTAACACGTGGTTCATAACGACAATTTGACTCGAAATACCAAGTGTGTGGTATCAATATATTCATAAAAAAATGCTTTTTCCAAATATGCTAATGAGTCACCCTTGTTCCATTTGAAAAAATTGACATATGTATGATTAAAAATACGATTTGTACATATTTTAACCGACTTAGACAAGACACGAAACCTATTAGACGATCAAAACTATTTTTCCAAGGCTCCTTGATTAAAACTTAGTGTTTTTAACAACACCATGGCACCCTGGATTGAAATTTAAAATACGATTTGTTTTTCAGCGACAATGTCAAAAGTTGACATATGATATGTCATTCTATTCAGAGTGTCATTTTTTATCGAATAAAGTAGCAATATACCGAGGTTGCCTTTAAAAATAAAAAGATGTAATCATTTCGGTGAAACAGGAAGAGACCAAAAACAACTGAATACATCAATAAATCCTAATTTATGTCATATACCTATAACATACAAATCTGTTTTTTTTATCTGAAAAAATAAAAAAGTTATAGGGGGTGAGCCACTTTTGAGACGACCCGGTATATTAAAAAATATTGTTTCATAATGTAATATCAATTTAAAATTCTTGTATGTTATTTTATATGCTCAAGATAATTTTAGAATAAACCATATTTTTAATAAAATCATTATTAATTATTAACAGGGTTATAATTATGACTTTGTTACAATGTAAGTAAGTAAATAATGTAATGAGAAAAAATTCAGATTTTACATTTTACTAAAATATTATCTAAATAAGCGCCTTTCTACAACAACGCCACTGGCTCCCAATGGGCAAATTGAGAGTTGTCTACCGGTCGAAAGTCGTTTCAAGACTTAAATGGATTATTTAAGTCAAATTTCTTGCAAATTTGGCACTGGCGAACCATATTTTATAGTTCTTGAACAGAAAAAGTCAATAAAATAAACACTTAAGGACTACAAACTAAGAAAATGCGTTAATACAGCCGGGGACATAGCGGCATCAAAGCTTTACCGCACACTTGCCACGCGTACTACAAGGTAATAAATGAATGAATAGGCTCCCTCGCCTCTAATCGGTGTTATCATATTGTAAAGAACTTATCCTTTTTAAACAGTATCCGACTTATAATTTAGTAGTATAAGGACTATTTAATACATCTATGGAATATTAAAACCTACTTTATTAACTGTAGTATTAATATCTCAATATATGTGTATAACAAGAAAAAAAATATTGATAATATTAAAGACGTGACAACATAGGCTGGATGAGGAAGGCTCGGTCGACTGTACCCAGAAGTAAACATGTGTACAAAAAAGGTTGTTTGTCCGCGTTGAGATGTAAATAGTGTAGTCTATATTTTATTTTAAGTCTATGGGCTGGACTAACTGATCTATAATTCTGAAACTGGGACACCTTAGGAGGGACATTTTGGATTATTACAGATTGGGAAGACACCATCATAAAAAAATCTCAGTAAACACCTAAACATGTTTTAAAATCAGCCATAGATATTTAACATACTACAAATGATTCAAATTATTTAAAGGGTCAAGCAAAAACACTCCACCCCATTACAGCAAGTCTTGAGACTAATAAGCATTATAATGAAACTGTATATCATCAAAATAGGTGAAAATGATTATAAATTGTGGATTTGCCTACTAAAATAAGGGGTTAAGGATATTGACAATTAATGCACAATTAAAATTAGTGAATGAAAGGGGGGTAGACAAAAACTCTCCATTCAACTAATTTACCTATGACGTAGATGTAGAGGATTTATTAAACCCGTTCCTAAATCTGCTCAAACCTATAGAAAAATTAATACTTAATCAACTGAGAAATATTCAGACATACTAATATGTTAAAAAATCACGGTCAATAATTAGTGATTTCCTAATATTTTATTAATGAAATAAAAAGAAAGTAAGTATTACTAAACCAAACAACAGTAAGTAATTGTATATAAAAGATATTGACCTGGAAAAGGTTTTATTATAAAAATTATTTATTAAGTTACCTTCTGCATCTGTCAAACCAGCCTCATTAATCATAGATATATTTTCTAAAGCTGGATCATCAGTGGTGTACCCCGTACTTTCCCTGTCGTTCAGTAAAGGTTCGGAAGCTCCACCGTCTTCATCTTCCGACCATTCAGACACGCTAAAAAATCAACAAAAATATTAGTTTCATTCGTTATTAATGTAAAAATGTTTTGCGAAAGTACCTTCCTTCTGGCATTGCACTTGCGGTGGTCAGTAGGTTATCTTGCACAGCAATGGTTTCCAGGTTTTTAAGTTTTTCCTGTATTTTTTCTTCCAGCAGTCTTTTTACCTCAGCTTCCTAAATGATAGAAATATATTTTTTAAAAAAACAACGTTAAAGTAAACATATCTGTTTATATTACCAATTCCGTATTTAATCTCTGCATGAAAAAATAAACAATAATTGTTATAAACAATATCTCTCGTACTATCAAAAAATTATATTTCTTAATAAATGATTTAACTATTATATTAACTTTTTACAATTCAAAGTCTTTATTTTAACGGCGATTTATTGAATTCGAACGATGGTATTACCATGTTTCCAAAATAAAATGTAACTTATATATTGTAGCAAGGCTATCAAATTTCTTTTTCTAAGATCTTTTATGAAAGATATTTGATGAAAAATTTGACAGTGTTAAAATACAATATTTTATAAAATCACACATATTAAGCCAGTATTACCCTATCAAATCTCTTTGTCAAAGATCTTTTATAAAAGATATCTGATGAAAAATTTGACAGTGTTAGGCCAGTATTACACTATCAAATTTCTTTGTCAAAGACCTTTTATAAAAGATATTTGATGAAAAATTTGACTTTGTTAATATGCAATATTTTATAAAATCAAGCATATTAGGCGAGTATTACCCTGTCCAATCTCTTTGTCAAAGATCTTTTATAAAAGATATCTGATGAAAAAATTGACAGTGTTAGGCCAGTATTACACTATCAAATTTCTTTGTCAAAGACCTTTTATAAAAGATATTTGATGAAAAATTTGACATTGTTAATATGCAATATTTTATAACATCACACATATTAGGCCTGTATTACCCTATCAAATCTCTTTGTCAAAGATTTTTCATAAAAGATATCTGAAAAAATTTGACAGTGTTAGACCCACTATCAAATTTCTTTACATACAGGGTGGTCCGAACTGTACTCCGGAAACTGCGGCAGCATATTCTGCACATAAAAATAAGTAAAAAAGTTCGTGTAAATTTATGTCCTAAAATACTTAATTTCGGAGATACAGAGTGTAGAAATAGTTTAATTCTGATGAATTGTAGACTTTTTACGTAAAAAACGTCTCTTGGTAAAAATCGCTACGAGCAACCAGTCTCAAAATATTTAAAGTGGAAATAGTCAATACATGTCATTATTGACAAAAAATAAGCATACGTTGAATAGAGTTATTTGACTGAATTAATAAATTTCTATTTCTATAAATTAATCATCAATTTTTCTGCGAAAAAATGATGATTAAACAGTTTGTGTTGAACTTTTGGCACAAAAAGAGTTCAAATTTAAGATTTCAGTTTAATAACTACCGATTTGGTCAACATGTTTAATTTGTCAATGATGACTGGTATTGATAATGCCAATTTCGAATATCTCGAGAACCATTATTACGCGTAGCGATTTTTACCAAGAGATCTTTTTTATGTAAAAAAAGTTGTAAATGTTTATTTTTTTATCCAGTAGTTTTATACAGGTATGGATGAAAAGTTATTACTCTTCAAACCAGTTAAAGCATATGTAGGTGGCTACAAGCAAACCAGTTAAAGCATATGTAGGTGGCTCCTACAAGTAGGAGTCATATTTACATGAAAATCAAATTTCTCATGTCCAAAAACTCCCAAACACCAATTTTCATCCAAATATTCACGTTACTTCTTAAATTATTTGGAAAAAATCTAAATAAAAATGAAATTTCTACACCCTGTATCTCCGAAACTAAGCATTTTATGACATACATTTATACGAACTTTTTTACTTATTTTAATCTGCAGAATATGCTGCCGAAGTTTCCAGAATACAGTTCGGACCATCCTGTATATATATCTATCTTTATATGTATCTTCTTTATATATTCATATCCTCAAAAAAAGAAATCTATAGTAAAATCTTAAAATATTGAAATTTAGTTTTGTTTAAATGAATTTAAACAAAATAATATATGTAAAAATGGCAAAAACATATTATGAATTGATAAAGTATAGTAAGTATAGTACAGTAGATACTTGTATCGTTTAAATAATTCTGAAAGAAATATCTTTACTAGAAATATCCCACAACTATTGCAAAAATTTTAAACTTACTTGTGCTACTTCTTCTTCCATCCGTTTTTCATCCCTCTCAAAACTTTCCACATCCGTATCGTCATCTCTCTTCTGGACTTCCAGCATATCACAGTCAACATCCGGTTCTTCATTAGACTTTGGGGTCCTTAAACATATTCAATATAAAATATAGTCCATTTAAAGCAGAAAATACATATATTGCTCGTTTATCTGTTTGTATTTAAATCTCAATATTTAAAATTGGTCACCTATTATCTCTGTACACTAAAAGCAAAGGCCATTAAAAAATTCTCTTAAATGATGATGGTGTTGCCTTGAAAAACTATAAATTTAACTTTATTAATCATAGGTTATTTAAGAAAAATGTAATCTATTCCGATCAGAGTTATTAATATTTTTATTTTATGCGAAAATTCGGTAAAGAACCCATAAATAAGAATGGGAACTATAGAAATAAAATACATTGATTAAGTTATTATATAAATTTTGTTACATTTCTATTTAAAGCTAGAAATATTTTAAGCATCGATTCTAAACATGCAAATATTTTATTCCTTAAAATATAAAGAGTATGTTTAAGACACTGTAAGCATGTTAGTGAGCAAGCAGCATGGACCAGTGTAAATGCTAACCATTTAATATGTGTGGTAACATACAGAATAAAACACCTAAAATTTTACTGAACAAACTACTGAGATATTGTAAAAAAAGTTTTCTTAGACTGTGATATTGTCTTTAGGTTTTAAATTATGATGTTTCGACTTGTACATATACGAGTATCACTAGTCGTTAACAAGTATAACTATTGAAATATACAAAAAATCAAGATAAAATATACAGGGTGGTCCGAATTGTATTCGGGAAACTCGGGAGTCATATTGATATCAAATCAATATGATTGAATATATATAAATCAATTTTCTCATATCAAAAAGCACCAACACCAATTTTCATCCAAATATCGACATTGAAATTTCTACACCCTGTATCTCTGAAACGAAGCATTTTAGGACATACATTTATACGAACTTTTTTACTTAGGTATATTTATCTGCAGAATATCCTGCCGAAGTTTTCCGAATACAATTCGGAGCACCCTGTGTATTTCAATTTTTAATTTGTTGAAATGTAAGAGACAAAAAAGAAATGTACAACACAGGTCTATTTTTTTCTGAATATTAAATTACGTTTTCTTCTTTTCCGAATTCTATTACTGATGAACAGTTTTTTTATTCTTTATTTCTGTGTTTAACCAGATATATTCCCAGACTACTGTTTTCGTCTCATATTTTCCTATTTAACAACAAACAGAATCTTATTATTTGCTCAGCATGCAATTTTTCACAATATTCTATATTCCCGAAATCATAATTTAATTCTAAAATCCCGAACTTGTAACAGCTTTAACTGACATTATTAGTACTTAGCTAAATTAGTAATTGGTTGTACAGAAATAATGAAAAATATTAAGAATTAAAATCAATAAAAATCAAACTTTTGTCAGTTAGAGACTAATAATTGATTGTAGGTCATCAATATGCTTGACAAAGAAAAAGCTATTAATCTCTAAGTTTAAATTATTAAGATCTGTATGTCACCACACTGCTAGATCATAACCCCAAACCAAGTGATGTGAGTGTTAGTTTTCTGCGAGTTTCTAAATGAAAAAATACCTGTCCAAAGGCGACACTTTAGGTTGTTTATTGGACTCGGACGGGCCCGGCGACGCTCCCCTCTTAAGGGAGCCCTCTTTGCTGCTTGCTCGCGTGGGGGACATGCACTGAAGGGTAACGCTGCCTGTGGGATTCACCCTTAAACCCAGAGCTAGCGCTTGAATGGCCGCCAGCCCCACTTGATGGTTATTATTGTTGGGAGCGTACCTGACTAGCGGCTCCAACGCTAAATCTTTGTTTTGCTGATTCTCCAGCTTGGGCGGGATGTTTTGCAGCAGGTTCTGCTCGTCGAGCAGTTTCTGAATCTCCCTCTCGAACGGACCCATATTGTTATCGCAGTGCTCCAAATTGGTCAGTTTCATGTTAGGGGAGATCTTATCCCGGAACGTCAGAGGAGACATTCGTAGTTTTTTCAAGTCTTTCTTATCCGTCTGACATGATCCGTCCTTTTTGAGACTCTTATCGCTACTTACAGTCAGCTTGTTATCGTCTTCCTTCAGTAGTTCCTTAATTTCCTCGGCTTCTTTAAAACTGGGCGATCTTTTACAATTAGCGGCAAGTTTGTTACATTCCAGTACAGAATCACTGTCATTCCGGATTCTCTTATTTTCCAAGCTTCTCTGTTTAAACAATACCTTATTAGGGATATTATTTCCCCCATTCGCACTAGTTGTTCGTAAAAGAGACGGATTTCTCTGTTTATTACTTCTCCCGACAAATTCAAAACTAGCACAACTTTCACCTCTGTAACTATCCTCTCCATCCAAACAAGGCGGACTAGTTATTATAGATGAATCTACGGTATTACACGTGCCAGCTATAGCTAATACCGCGCTGGGAGGGAGGTTATTTCTCTTCGCGTTTCCTCTATCAGTCGAGTTGTTCCTCAAGGAACAATTTGGAGGAATATAGTCTAAAGATGCCCTGGGTGACACTTCGGGGGAAGACAGTGGGTTGACTTGTATATCAGACGGAAATAGGAACTGTTGTGTATCAGTTGGTAGAGGTGGAGATACACAAGGAGATGCATCAGCATCCGTTGTTCTACTGTAACTTTCGTCTGAACTACTTATGCTAGGTGAGTGATTTAGCGAACTAATTTCATCAGCGGAAGAATGTATTCTTTGTACCGCACCTGCAGAACTATACAGACCACCCAGACTTTCATCAGAGTAGTGTCTCTGTAAAGGACTATGCCTGTGATGATGAGGACTTTTCCTCGCATGAAGCGGACTGTTATGCCTTGGTTGAACCTTCGCTCTTAACATCTCCGGAGTTTTCTCAGGTGTGGCTCTCTGGTGCATCACGCTGAGCATGTTTTGTCTCGGCAGCGGAGGACTGGAGTGAATCATTTGATGAGGAGCGGGGCTAGGGTTCTGAAGCTTCCTTTGGTGCCGATTCGGTGATTCCTTTCCCGGTGGTTTAGGAAGAGGCTTGAGGTACGGTTTAATGTTATCTACTGATGCTGGGTTGGTGGGGGTGAAAGGTTGCTGGGGTCTGGGCCATGGCGGGTTGTACCTCATTTCGGGGAAAGGCTGCTGTCGCGAATTGTTCGTTTGGAACGGCCCTTTGTGCGGCGGAAGAGGTGGAGGAGGAAGATTGTCTTCCAGTACGTTTCCTTTTTTGCTTCCGTTTCTTCCGTTATTTTTTGAAATTGCACCGGGTAGTAAGGGTTCGTTTTCGCATCCAACTATGCTGTGATCCCTGTGAGCGGTTTCTCGTAACGGTGGCAATCGCATGGCGTTTCTCGAAGCATTATAAGTATCTTCGCGGGAATTCTGACGGTTCTGAAGTTGAATGTGTTTCGGTCTTGTATTATCACCGTGAAGTAAGGCCAGTGGAGTTGCAACTCCTCCATACATATTATTAATATCTAAAAATAAAATAAAATAAATTAAAAATAATTTTAAATGGTAAACGCCATAATTAAAAGCTTATAATCTATCCATCATTGATTGTTTTTATTAACTATATTTTAATTATTACTTATGAATAAAGCAATGTTCAATAATGGTCTTGAAAAAAATATTTGAAAATTAAATTTTACAAAGACTTTGCAGATCACAAATATTAAGTTTAATTGTTGGCATTTCTTCACCAAATACATCTTAAATACAAAATATTTCCTATTTAATATTTAAATATATTATAAACTCACCAGCACGAAAGACACCTTAACATTTTGATGTATTTTAAAATATAATATATTTTGTTTTATCCAAAAAAATCCTTTATGGGTATTTCGCCACTGCACTGCAACATCATGTCATTTTAACAGAACGTCAACGATTTCTTCTAGACGTATCTGTTTTAAAAAGTAAAGTGTTCACGAATAGTTCAATTTAAATATTTTAAATAGTTTTTTTCTTGATTCTTTATATTTTTTTGCTTCCGACGACGGAAAGAGAAAACTTTCCGAAACGTTAAGCATTTTTATCTTTGTTAGACAAATTTTTATAACTGTAAACACAACTTCTGGCAAGCAGCGTCCGTTTGGGTTTAACGCAGAAGTGTTTACAAAAAATAACTATTTTATTTTGTAGATTTTTCTTGCAGTGTAGTGGCGAAATACCCATAAAGGATTTTTTTGGATAGATGAATGTAGGTATAGCGCCACATAGGTATAGACATTTTTATATTTTGTTTTAATGGGCCGATTTTGATGATTTTTTAAGCAATTTGTAGTCAAATTATTTGACTTTTTAGTAGCTTTTTATAAATTAAGAATGAAAGTTTTCATCTGTCAATTATACAAGGGAAAACAAAATGTTTATATTTTGGTGGAATTTTGAAACACCCTGTGGAATATGTGTTAACAAAGGAAGGAATTTAAAAATAATTTTATCATTTAGGTACAGCTGGTTCCAAAAAAAATGAATACGACTCTTTACACATTTTTTTCGAATATTTGGGCAGTGTATATTTATGTGTCAGGTATTTTGACATGTTAAGGTTATTGTGATATTGTGTAAAACAACTTTGCTTTTGACAAAGTGGCAAATAAATTTTTCAGAACGTCAGCATGACATGAGTAGAGAAATGGGGGACTGGTATCATAGAATATACTGCCCGAAACAATAAATTATGTTTTAAATCGTATTCAATTTTATTGGAACCAGCTGTACGTCTTTTCGCGATAGGTTGTTTTTTTATTCATCTCAATAGTTTTATTTTTATTGGATATATTCGCTTTTGAATAAGACAATAACGATTTAAACGCAATTTTAGCATTGATTTTCGGTCGTCATCAACACACTTATAAAGTAGTGTTTATTGCTTTTGTAATCTCCCTGCCTATCAAGTCATATTATTATTGTGTGTTGACGATTACTCTAGGTAGAGGTAGTTTTAAGTTCTGAAGTATCGGCTATTGCTGTTTTAATTGACCATGGTAAAGATCAATTTTTGGCCTTAAAACCATATCTGCTAACAGACAATAATAAAATGATTTTTCAGACAATGACATTAATTATAACCGCTCTTTTGTAGGTCTGTTAACTAGGGCCTAAAGCAAAGGCATGTTTTTAATATAAAAATATGAAAAAATATGACTGTCTTCTTCAAAAGTGAATATCGCCAAGAAATAAAGCTATTGAGATGAATCAAAAAACAAACTATCAAGAAAAGATACACCTAGAAAATAAAATTAATTTTAAATTCCTTGCTTTCTTAACGTATTTCACAGGGTGTTTCAAATTTTCAATAAAATATCATTATTTTGTTTTCTCTCCTATGGGCTCTTTCACAAAAAATAAAATACCCAATTCAAGGACAAAATCTGAAATAGAAGACTATTTTCAGTATATTTATCCAAAAAAAAATGGTCTATTACATTGAATATTTTTTTTATAGGCCCTCAAAATTGCTTTAATTTGAAATAATTTTAAAGCGCCAGTTGATGACGTATGAAAAATACGCCCAATCACATTGCAGAACCGTGCTCGTGCGCCAGCCAACAACTGGCAACATTGCGATTTCATTTGACCAGCACCACCTCAACTCAAGGCCAATCAACATGATATGGGCAAGGCAAATATGGCGGCGAATGCAGCGCATTATTAAATTGTTTACCTTTAAACTGAAAAGCCGGTAGTGGTTTCTCGTTCGGATTGCATACCAGAAATAATTTATTATCTCTAGTTTGTTGTGCTTCTGGAACACGTTTGTTTAGTTCTTAGTGTTCAGTGCATGGTGTGATCAGAAAATTGTGATAAAATAACAGTGTAATAAAAATCCAAACCAGACATTCCACATAGGGAACTTCAAACTTTTGTGCTTGTCGTACTCCTCTATTATTAATTATTTTAAGGTAAAAACTAGAAGTATTTATCAAGATATTACACCTAAATGAGTAAAAAAGCCTTCACCGCCAGTCTGCATAGTACTTTATAATGGTTACTTACAATAATCAAAAGATAGGTATTAAAGGGTAGGTATTAACATTTTATTGTAGCATACCTTTTACATGCTCTGTTCCAAATTGTCACGAGAGTTATAGAGGGGGTCCCAAGGTTTCTGCTTTTATATTTCCCAAAAATGACGAGCTTCTTAAAAAATGGTTGACAGCTATTAAAAGAGATAATTTCACTCCTACTAGTAGTTCTCGAGTAAGAAGTGCATTAAATATGCCTCAAAAAGGCCAAAGACCAAAGCCTCTGTTACCCTAGTGAGGATGAATGGCTACTGCTTACACTTACCCTACAAGATATTGACAACATTCACATTTGAAAATATAAATGGCCTGGATGTAAGTCTTTTTTTAGGTCACAATTGCCCCTCACGTCAGAATTTATTATTAAAAAAAGGAATGACTTTTTTTCTATATAAAATCTTGAAACACATATTATTTTTTTTAGTTATCCTCACCTATTATAGTTTAAATTTATTCCCATTTGTGTAATGCTGCAAAACATAGGAAAATATTTCATATTTTTTTACCCAAGCAAGTGTAGTTTTCACCAAGAGCATTTACCAAGGCTAAGACAAGTAACTTCCTATACTGTCCATAATAGTATATATTTATCAAACCTGCAGTAAATTCTAACCTATAGTAGGTAAGTGTTTGCAATTGAATATTTAGTTTATATTGCTATTTTCTGTCATATATTTCTGGTTATTTCTATTTCCGATGATTTTGAACACCTTATATATGCTACCTCAAGTTTGAATATTTACACACTAGTACACTACCTACTTATTTTCTGAGAAAGCAGACTTTTTTATAAAAAGTAACTAACTGATGTTTTCATAAAAGTAATAATACAAAAAATTCTATACTTATATGGAGAGCTTTAGACTCCCTGTATATTAAAAAATTAGTGAAATATTACGTAATCTAACCCGACATTTGTGTGAAGAATGTCTATTTGGAAATAAAACAGGTTTTAAAATACGCGCCAAATAAAGCACTTCTATCTCCGCCATATTGGAAAAAGTTGAACGGCCTTGTGTGGAGGTGGTGGTGGGTCAGCATGGTGGCCCGGCCGTGTTGCCGCTTTTCAACATGCCAGGTGTGACGTATTAATAATAAAGTGCGGATTTTTATTCTGGGCTTTTTTGTTTTTATTTATTTTCTTAAGAATGACTTCAAATTTTTCGAAAGTGAGATAGCAGAAAATTCTAGAATTAATTGCTTTATTCAATTATGCTAATTCCAAAATATAGTGAAAGAGCCCATTGTAAATATATATTTCACAGTTAGCAACTTTCATTTTTAATTTAGAACGAGGCACTAGAAAGTTAAATAATTTAGCTACAAATTGCTTAAAAATCATCAAAATCGGTCCATTAACAATATATAAAACTTTAAAATACATGAAATTTTAAGGTGTTCGTTTTTCGTGCCGGTGTATTATCAAATTTAAGATCTTTCAAATCCTTTCTCTATGATATCTGAAATAAAAACTTTACTTCCATTTAATCAGTTGTTATTAATTAATTACTCATAAAATGACAATTAATGCGTCTAGATCATAACAATGACCTTTAAATTAAAAACAAAAAGCGTTTTTTTAATTTACCTTTTGCCAATTTTTTCCTAAAAAATCATAAATCTAAACATCTATATTAAGTTAAAACTTACTATTAGTATTATTTGAATTGGATCGGATATTATTCAGTTCTTCAACTCTCAGGGTGCCAGGTTGCTTTCTATCTATTAAGAAATACGTTGTCATATCTCCTTTTCCTTTCACTTTCACTTTTCCTCTGCACTGAAACTCATACGGATGATTCTTAAGTACTTGGTATACTTCCTCGGTAACTTGAGTGTGATTTGGCAACCCCGTCGAGTCCATTCTGCTAGCTACATTTACAGTGTTGCCCCATATATCATATTGGGGTTTTCTTGCACCTATGACGCCAGCTACTACTGGACCTATATTAATACCTGTAAAATTATAATCAAATGTTAAATCAACAATTAGTAAATAATTAAGAATTTTTATACTTACCTACTCTAAGCATAAAATTATTATAGGAATTCTCGTTTATGTTTAATAAGCGTTCTCGCATGGCGAAAACAAACTCCACCAGCGTCCCAAGATGGATACCAGCTGTCGATTCATCTTCATCTAAAATTCTTAAATCTGGCATGAGACCCACAGCTGCCATATATGTCGATCCAACAGTCTTGATCTTATCAATGGCTTTAAATCGTTCTTCGCTTAACAAGTCATCGAAATCAGCAATAATTTCGTTTAACAGCCTCAAGCATTCAACTCCTTGATTGTTGCCATCTAGTTCTGTATAGAACTCGTGGTAGTTGGTAATAGAAGCGAATACAACACCGACTCTTGAGTAGCTTTGATGGTAGAGTTCCTGTGATAGAGTATTCTGTAAGAGAATGTCCATAACTTTATTTTTTACTCTTTGGTGCAGCCAACATCTAACAACATCTAGTACTTACGTAACATTTTAATAGAAAAACTGATTCGATATCAAATTAATTAAACAAAAATGACATCTAGAAACAAAAATAATAAATGTTGCCCGCACATAAATAAACAAAACATACAGCTAAATATCCTGAGTAATTTTAAAACAAATCGTACGACATTTAATAAAATTTCACAACACATTACATTAAATAAAGTAATCGCAAAACAATTTCCGATGTATGTCATCAACTAAGCGATGGCGAACAGCGCTGCCAGATTGTGATGGATTTATGAGATAAATCTTAATGTAAAATTGGGAAACAATATATTTACTATATAATTTTTTCAAGATTTTTACGTTTTATTTTTCATTTAATAAGTAATATTTTAGTAATTAATTTAGCTATTAATACACACACCGGAAAAATCTAGGGATATCATTTTATTAAAGTTAAAAATAAATGTTTTGAATAAACAACCACATATTTGTAAGCCGATTCTTTCTACTTCAATTGAAACGAAGTAGTCACACTAGTTATTTCTAAATTTGGGATATTTGCAGAAGTGTTTGTGCATTTTTTGTCAAATGTATAAAAAGCACCTAGCATCAATTGTTCGAATTTAACATGTACTGGCTATGTTTTTATGATAACTGGCCAAAATTCATTCAAATAACTCTGTTTAGTATTAAACGACATTATGGAGCGTAAACGTCTTAACACAGACGAAATGCTAAGGGTCATGGGTATGCTCGAAGCTGGAATGCGCCAAATCGACGTAGCTAGAGCATTAAATACAACGCAAAGTGTAATATCGCGATTAAGTGCACGCTACCGTGAAAGTGGTGATGTTGCGGAAAGGCACACAGGGCGACATCGCATTACTACCCCTCAGCAAGTTCATTTTTTACAATTAAATGCTCGACGCCGACCGACTCTTACAGCACCAGAGCTTAGTTTAATTCTCCAGGAAACACATAATGTAACTGTTAGTCCTGACACTGTTCGCAATAGATTAAGAGAGGTCAACTTAAGAAGCAGACGCCATTGGAGAGCTCAACCCTTAACGAGAGGAAATCGAGAGGTACGATATTTGTGGGCTCAAGTTCAGTTGTCGAATTAACAATGGGCCAATGTTCTCTTCACGGATGAGTCACGCTTTGGAATTCATCCGGATTCGAGAAGGCTTAGGGTATGGAGAGAACCAGGAAATCTTATTCGGTTGGATCATGTTCAGGAAGTGCACTCTTATCAAGGTGGAACAGTTATGGTCTGGGAAGGAGTCCAGTTAGGCCGAAAAACCGATCTAGTTTTTCTTGAAAGGTTTCTAACAGAAATCACATATCGTGATTTAATTATTGAGCCTGTCGTGTTACCATATGCCTATGATTTTGGGAGAAACTTCATTCTCATGCATGACAATGCACGGCCTCATACAGCCAGAGTGGTAAGTGAGTTTATCAATGCTCATCAATTAAACAACTTATCCTGGCCGGTACAATCTCCTGACCTCAACCCCATCGAGCACGTATGGGACGCGGTCCAAAGAAGAATTTTGAGAATGGGTATGCGTCGTGAAACTCGTAGGGATCTGGTTCGGGCCGTGAATGCAGCGTGGCAAGCTGTACCTCAAGAAGAGATCGACAACCTGATCAGGAGCATGGAGAGACTATGTAGGGCTGTAATGAACAGTAGAGGAGGCCATACCCTTTATTGAGTAAAAATGGTTTTATCTTTTTTTTTAATTCACAGTTTAGAATAAAAAAAAATGTGTGTATTTTTTTGAGTTCAATAAAAATCAAGGCAAATTTAAAAAATTCGGTAAATTTCGCATTTTTATTTCCAATACGTCCTGTAAACTATTTGTTTATTTTAATTTTATTATATCAGAAATGCAAATAATAAAATTACTGACGATGGCTGGATAAAATTGTAATATCCCTCGACTTTTCCGGTGTGTGTAGTTACTAACACTCACAGTAGAAATATTTAAGTTTAAGGCAGCAGCTACGCGCTACAAATCGAAATAAGTAGAAATAACTTTGAGAGTGGTATAATGTACTTACCAATCAAACTTACTTCTCTGACTGCAGTCCATGGTGATAAAGAACCTTTATTGTCACGTTCTCGTTCAAAAAAGTTTATTAGGAAAGCTACAAGCTCTTTGCATCGACTGTTTAAATGCTTCGGCATATTTTCAACACACAATTTCAAGAAATGCAATACAAAAACTCGAAAATTTAGTTCGTAAAAGAACTGTTTGTGCTTAAAAGTACAATTTTTAAAAAAAGACTATGAAAATCGGCCAAAAAAACAAGAATTACTCTCAAAGATTCAATAACAACACGATATTATACAAAATAATGACTGACATGATACTCGTCAAATAATAAACGACAACGTTGATGATCGCGGCGCAACGTGACCAACATGGCGATAATAAAAATCGCTTTAAACTAATTTTGGCAGCTTTAATCTAAATAAAATATCTGTCACGATCATTTGCCTTATAAAGTAAAATGAAGAGCTGCTCGGTATCTTAAATTATAAAACAAATTTAAAAAAAATTGGCCAGAATTTCATTTAGTCAGCTTTATAGACTTTAGTGTCAATTTCGACATGATTGATGACGTGCATCGGAAAATGTTCTGCGATTACCGTACATCAATTAATTTGTAAAATAATTGTAACTCTGGTTATTTAACTCGCCAAAGACAAAATCTGTCACTTACCATATTGTTGCGAAATTGATTATCAAGAAAATGAGTGGCCACGTGAGCTGGCAGCAAATTAAATAAGATTCTTTTATTTGAGTGTTGTAACGAGTCCATGTCACGTTTCTCTTCGTTAGCCTGTACTTGCCAGAGAAAATCTAATCTAGCAGTCCATTCTACTTGTCTCCCGTGTAATAGTACAGCCAATACAAATATCAATACTTCGACTACGCTGAGAACATGAGCAGGTATAACCGATCTAAAATAATTATCAAATTTTTTTAATTAAAATTTAAAAATTCTTCTCTTCAAAAATGTCCTATGGGTATTTTGCCACTGTACACAACAGTGTTCATTAATCCAACGGAGACCAGCCCAAGTAGCATTTTTAGACACAAAATCGAAACAAAATATCTGCAGAGAAACATTGGGAAACAGTTTCGTAACATTTTTTAGACATATGTTTCGTAACATAAATCGATTTTTGTTTGGAAATATTTTACCAAAATATGGTTTCGCCTACATAAGCTATAACAATAAAGATCTTAGTGTCACAAATTTTTCGAAACTTTTAAGAAACAGATGTGGCTCACATTTACAGATTTCGTACCCGTTTTGTGCCTGAAAAGTTTCCAAAATTTATTTGATATTCTATCATATATGAACACTTTATTGTTTTGATTTTGTTCGGCAGTTTTTGCTTTTAAGCATTCTTCATGTTTTTATAGTACAATAATTAAAAAAGCAGAAGAAAAGACATATGGTCAGTAGAAATACAGATATATTTCTTATGCGATTTTATAATTATTTTATTTATTATATGCATTAGAGATGATTTGTTATGGGAATAAATGTAATAACAGCCACTACCCATACCCAACAGGAGACCGGAGAAAAATGTTACCAGCAAACGTTTTTTTCTATTTTTTTCCACAATGGAATACATGTTTTTATGTTTTAATTGTGTTATAATAAGTAAATAAAAATGTTTTAATTATTTTGACCACAAATTGTGATTGGTGTTGTTGACAGGTGACTAGGTTCGAAATTTCTACACACAAATAGTGCTAAATCGACACATTTTGGAAACAGGTTTCTATTTATTGTCGATTCATTTTCGAAACACGAGTTTCTTTCTAAAAACAAACATTTTAAGACAAAAAATTATGGTAGAGGTCGATATTGTTGATGGTTGTTTTCATTTTGAAACCCACACATGGACATAGACTATTTTAGTTTGGTATTTTGTTTCTTCACATTTAGAAACAGTGGCTACTGAAAACGGGAATATCTTGGACGCAAATTGTAGAAAATGTTTCGAAACATTTCCTCTAAAAGTTTTGATTTCGCATCAAAACATTTCAGGAAATGGCTAATGGCACCACATTGGAAACACATGTAATAAAGCTATATAAAATATATAGGTTTCGGAAATGTTTCCTATTTGTGGCATACCGTCTCCATTTTGTGTCAAGAAACAGACATAATTATTAGAAACATTACCTAAAATGTATCCAAAAATGCTACTTGGGAGCTCGTCAGTAATGATTTACAAATAAACAAATTTGCCTAACGGACAAAAATGTTTAACGTTTCTGGAAATATATCTCTTCCTGTTGTCAGAAGCAAAAAAATTCAAAAAACAAAGAAAAAACTATTTAAAATATCTATATACAACTATTCAAGAACACTTTAGTTTTTTTCAACACATACGTCTATAGAAACCGTTGACGTTCTGTTAAAAAAATATTAAATCAAGTTAAACTTCAAAATTAACAATTACTACCTGATAACAATTACTTAGTGAGGTAAAACCAAAAAGCCTCAAACTTTCTGTATGATTATTTTTTAATTTGTTTTTAACACTTACTTATATTATGTTCATTAAAATCAAAGAGGCGATCGTCATACATTGTATGTACACATGCCTGAACAATACATTTAGTTTTATTAGACTGTATTAAAAAAACCTTTTTTATTTTTGGTTTAGAGGCTATCGCTTCTTTCATAATAATTTTTGCATTGTTAAAATCTACTCTGTGGCCCATGTCAACCAATTTTATTTGTATAGACGTATCTGTTGAAAAAAAACTAATGTGTTTTTGTAGATTTTCTTACAGCGGAAAAATACTCATAGGACTTTTTTGAAGAGATGAATCCGCCACAGAGGTATAGATATTTTTTAAAAATTCTTACCCCACTCGACTGTCGTAACAGTTGAAAAGTTCTATGTGGGACAGTTCTATGAGTAAAATATAAACAGTGGACATTACAACTAAGAGTAGAGCTTTGAGTAGAATTGGTAGTCTGAGAAAAATTGCTACAGCCAAGTAACCTAAGGCGCAAGAAAGAACAATATACTGTGGTAAAGGACATGCCCTATGGTCTTGTTCCATAGGCAACCCGGTATCTAAAGTAATATTTTGAGTACTGTGAGATATACATGGTTCTTCCGATCTACAGGTAAACTAAAATAAAATATTCATATAAAATTTCAATTTAATACAACTAAACAAAATACTTACCACATTTATTTGGGCTACAGTATAGATCAAAACAATAGTAAACACTGTTATAGCTAGTCGCAGAACAAAACTGTGCGATATGTCCCAAAGTATCCATCTCAATCTTACAGCCAGGAGCAGAATAAGTACAGCCGAGATCCATATAAAAGCAACAAGAAATAATAACAATAAGATTATGGTTCTTGGCAACACTGTAGCTTGAAGTGTACCAAGAAAACCGAGAAGAACCAAAGCACAAACTAGTGTAGAACTGTAACCGACATCCAAATCTTCGTGATACTGAAAAATAATGTAAATATTTAAAAAATATGAAAACTATTAAAAGAAAATATTATACCTGACTCTCTCTATCTTTATTTTTGAAACATAAAGTGAAAAGACTGACGTGCGTTGATTTTTCTCTGTCAACGCTCCTGGCTTCAATTGCTCTGGAAAGGTACTTGTTTACTCTGTTTGACGGTTGATGATACACGCTTGAATGTCGTTTCTTAAATGGCCTTTTAAACTTCTCTGTTACTTTATTCTACAAATTTACATAAAACAAAATTAGGAACAATCTTTTAAGTAAACTGGTAAGATTTTATGGAAATAGTTAAAGTAACATCTTCAAGTGGGTTGTCAGTAAGTCATCAAAATCCTAACGATATTAAAAATTAATTTATTAATATACGAGTACAGGGTGGCGCCTCTTATATGACGCGGAGGCTACAAGAAGAACGACAGTTTGTATTCAAATCAAATTTTGTGTGCATAGGTAGAATAGTTCAGACCATTTTTTAAAAATATAGAGAGCTCAAGAGGGTTTCCTAACCAAAAAAGTTACATATCAAAGTTGTGTTTTTTGTAATGGAACACCCTATATATTAATTTATTTTCGAATTCTAGGAGAAAAATAAATGTGAAGTTCATTAAAGATGCACATGCCTAAAATGTAAGGCTTTTGACATATTTCACATTTTGTAAAAATGAAGAATAAGCTTTAAATTTAACAGCTACCTAAATTATTGTGATTTACCCTGTCTAGCCTGATATTTAGTTAAAATAGACTTTGTACATTAAACTAAATTAAAATTTGATCCAAAAAGTTGTACAGGGTAAGACAAAATTAATATTGAACATTGGTCACCAAAAAAATGACTCTTTTATTTTAAATGGAACATTCAGTATATTATTCCGATATTTCAATGGGGAATTTATGTCTCTTCAAAATACTATTAAGGTTGCCTGCCCCTCAAATGAGGATTTTCGTAGATATTTTCATTTTTATGATTTAGTGTGTGTTAGTAGATCTTTATTATTTCATAAAATCTAGGTGGCTGTGATATGCCTGACGTTACTTCAACATAGCTGACAAGTAAGTTCATCTTTAACAAATAGTTATCAGTTAGTGTCAGTTAAAATAAAAAAAAATCTAAGAAATTTGCTGAAAATGGAAACTTATCCTATATCAGAGAGAACTGATATGATTCTATTAATTGGTGACTGGCAGTGTGCATTCCCCAATTAATAAAATGCTTAAATGCCCCTGATTTATCTAGTTCAGCCTTTTTTTGTTTTGGTATGTTAAAGATAATTTTTAGAAAACTCGATCAACTATTGTGGACAACATGAAAGAAATTATTGTATACGATTTTCGAAGTAGAACTCCATACAGAATAATTTTATTCAGTTAACAGAAAAGGAAGCATTTTTAGCATTTGATTTCATCTAGCTAATTTTCCTCATAGAATTCAGTAATAATTAAAATATGTTTTAAACGTGTATCTTTTTATTACCATTGAGTATTTTACTCTACATACGTTAGTTTCTGTTAAATTAAAGAAAGATGGACAGCCACCTATATTTTATCAAATAATAAAGATCAACTGATGCAAAATCATAAAAATAAAAATATTTAAGTAAATATTTGTCTAAGGGGTAGGCAACCTTAATAGAAGTTTGAAGATATATGAATTCTCTATTGAATATTGGAATAATATACTGGCTGTTCTATTTAATATAAATGAGTAATTTGCTTTTAAAAGTGGTCAATGTTCAATATTAATTTCGTCTCAACATGTATAACTTTTTGGGTCAAATTTTAATTTGGTTTAACAATACAATGGTAATTTTAACTAAATATCGGGCTATACAGGGTAAATTACAATTTAAGTAGCTGTTATTGAAATTTACAATTTATTCTCCATTTTCACAAAATGTGAAATGTCAAAAACCTTACATTTTAGGAATATGCTTTTTTAGCGAAACTCACCTTTATTTTTTTTCTAGAATCTAAAAATGAATTAATATATAGGGTGTTCAATTGTGTCACAACAAAAAAACACAACTTTGATTTGTAACTATTTTTGGGGACAATCTACAGGGTGTCCCCAAAAATAGTTCTAGATTCTCTATATTTCTAAAAAATGCTCTAAATTAACTGACATATGCTCACAAAATTTCATTTCAATACAAACTGTCGTTCTCCTTGGAGCCGCCGCGTCGTATGAGAGGTGCCACCCTGTATATTAGATTACTTTAATGAAGCGTACCAGTTAATGAAATATAATCTCTTACATTATATCTGGGAATGTAAATATAATTTTAAGATTGCTAGTGTTAAGTAAGTGAATATAAAGAAACAGAATAAAAAGTAAAAAAATAAAGATAAAAGAAAGGAAATAAAAATTAACCTACTTACATAAATATAGTAATAATTTAATAATAATTAGGGTCTCATGGTCTAATGGACCATTTCTGGGTTCTAAGTTTTTTTTTAATATCGTTAGTTTGAGATAACAACTGATCTAAACATTAACCCACCTTCATAAATAAGAATAAGAATAGATGTATCTGAGTAAGCAAAATTTAATAGTTCGAATTGTTAGGAAGAAGCAAACAGAAAGCATTAAGCATATTATTAATTTTTTTAATAGATATTTGTTGCTTAAAAATTAATTTTCGTTAATATATCATTCGTGCTGTTAGTTTACAAACACTCCATACAACTTACTAATGTTTTAGTCGTTAAAAAATCAGTTTTAAATCTAAAGAAACTGTTTCTTAACAAAAAGTCCTACGTCCTAACCTTATGTTCTAATTTATAATAATTTGGCCTTATGTTTAAATTAATTATTAAGTTTAATTTGTTAATATACTACTAAGCTATAAAACTAAAATTAAATCGACTGTTAAAAATAATAAAGAAAAGAAATGTCGATCATATCCATGAAAATTATGAATCTGAGATCGACAAGTAAAATGTATTATGCAACCATACGTTATTAAATAATTTAAAAATTCTTCTCATTGAGTAGATTTCAGACTCAACTCTGTGTATTATCAGGAGATATATCTCCTTCTATTATATACCTTTATTTGTTCCCTGTCAATAACGTTTATTAAGAATGACAGATTTGGATAGTATCGATCTTTTTATAATTATATTATCGAAAAGAACAAAGCTATTTATAGTAAACTAATTTGTCGACCTGTCTCATTCAGACATTTTTTTGAAAGAATAAAAAAGGTATCCTGCATATATTAAAGTATCAAAAAGTAAAGTAAATTTTCAAATGGATTTACAAAATTTAACCTTTTATCTTGTAAAGTGACACTATTTAGATATAAAGAAATAAACAGAAGACAGTCATCTAAATCATATTTTATCACAATTTACTTCGAAGTTGTAAACTATAGTTTCTTCTGAAGATTTTCTATTTTTTCAGAAAATTAAATTAAAGAAGAACGTAAAAAGTTTTATTTATGTAATTTATACATTTCCAAAATAGAAATGTAAATCAGTAAAGTTAGTAGTCACTTAAGTTTTAAAGTAAACCTAGTTAGCGTTTACTTAGTTTACATTTATTTTTAATAAATACAAATATTAATACGAATAAACATAAAAAAGTTTTCTAATTATAAATAAAATAATGTTTATTGATTCATAAAAGAATTAAATTATAAAATAAATTTACTTTTATGCTAAAATTTACGTCCAAACGAGCAGGTCTAAAGTACTATTATAAAAAAATAAAGTTGCATGTAAAAAAGTGTCCTAAAATGCAAATTTATACGATAAACCTAGTATTTCTTTAGTTTTCATTAAGCACCGTATATTTACTAATTAATATACAAGCGTTACTATAGTCAACTTGCATGCACTGATTAGAGAAAACTTATGATATACAATCACCGACACGAAAAACGAGCACCTTAAAATTTTGATGTATTTTAAAGCATTTTGATGATTTTTCTGGCAGTTTGTAGCTAAATTATTTGACTTTATAATGCCTCTTTTTAAATTAAAAATCAAAGTTGCTATCTGTCAATTATATGGGGGAAAACAAAATGTTGATATTTTGGTGCAAGTTTGAAACGCACTGTGGAGTATATTAACAAAACAAGGAAAAAAAATTCTCGATAGGTTGTTATTTGGTTCATCTCAATAGCTTCAGTTTTTTTGGAGATATTCGCTTTTGAAGAAGATACTAACATTTTTTCGTATTTTTCACATTAAAACCATACAGTTTAATTCAAGTTTTATTTACTCCAACCGGTGATAATTGTGAAAAAGTGGCATTAAAAACTTAAAAAGCTGTGCTGTGAACTGCAAAAACCATCGTGGATCGTGGCATAACGTCGGTTTCCAATATTTTGTAGGTATTTCATACATGTCCTTATATAAAATAAAGTTTCTTGTATGCAACACACTGTATTCTATTTATGAAATTAAAAGAAAATAATAATAAATTTGAATAAACAATATTTGGGCGATATAATTCCGGAAAAAGCCGAACCGCTCCGAAATTTTCAAAAGTTTTGGGTCGCGACCGTTGCAAGAATAGCGCAAAATAGTGTTTACATTGTCCTTATGGGCACTTTCCAATCTAAACTTGTTTCATTTATCTATGATAATAACAAGCAAATTTTAAAATAAGAAACGAGCAAAAAAGGTGCCTAAATACGTTTATTTATTGTAAACATTATTATTATTTAAATTATAACTGAACGTAGCATGGAATAATATACCCAAAGTGGTGAAGCCTTCCTATGTTTTGAAAGATGCTCAAAATATGCCATAACCTTTTCGTTACTACTATTCTTGATTCCTTTCCCTTTACACCAATCTTCAAGTTTTACATAGGCTTGCTCGTGCGTTTGTCTTGATTTTTCGGGAAGTAGGGAATCGACAACGTTTTGCGCAATGCCTTCAATATCCAAAGAGATACTTTCAGAATCAGAATCACCCATATTAGTATTATTTTTTGCTTTTTGCTAAAACTGAACGTTTTTAACACAAAATTGAACATCAATAATTGAGTTGTCAAAGTCAAAATGGAAACAATCAACAAGCACGGTTACCACGGCGTCGACTAATATGGGCACTTGATAATTTTGATTTTTAATTTTTATGAGGATATCTCTGATATTTTAAATTAAATCAAATCTCTTTGGATCGTCCCCCCTGTCGCGTCGAAATTTTGAATGATACACATTCGATACGAACTTTTTAATGAAACTTATACCGTATGATCGAAAAAAAACTGCGTCCAGTTGGCTTGGAAATGACGATCGATGACATTTCCCATATAATTTTACATATAAAACGAGAGCGATCTTCATTTCATAGCCATCGTCGACGCCGTTTTTATTCGATCATACGGTATAACTAAGCTAACCTAACCTAACCTTAACGTTACACGCGTTTCATTATGATGTTCGTATCGAACTTGTATCATTAATAACTATAAAAGTAATTATATATCAAGAAATTATGGTTATGCTAGTTGAATTTGACACTTATATCAGTTTAATAATATATTTTCGTACTTCTGTGTTTAGGCGTAAAAGTGGTTCACTTTTGTGCCTAAGTGTTCAAATAACATTTTTATATTGCCAATTACGTCGTAAAAATTAATACTTTTGTGACGTTTGAAAAGAGAATATATTATATTACTTTACCATGATGAATTAAAGCAGCAATAGCCGATACTTCAGAACTTAAAACCATCTCTAGTAGAGTAAACGTCAATAAACAATAATAATATGACTTTTCAATGCAAGTGGCATTGGTGGCATTACAAAAACAATAAACACTATTTTATAAGTGTGCTGATGAGTACGCAAAAGCAAAGGCATGCCTTCAATGCTAAAATAGCTGTAAATCGTTATTGTCTTATTCAAAAGAGAATATCTCCAATAAAAATAAAGCTATTGAGAGGAATAAAAAAAATCTATCGCGAAAAGACGTACCTAGATGATAAAATGATTTTTAAATTCCTTACTTTGTTAATATATTCCACAGAGTTTTTCAAATTTTGACTAATATATCAACATTGTGTTTTCCCTCTTATAACTGAAAGTCGGGAACTTCCATTTTTAATTTAGAAAGAGACACCCCAAGCAGCATTTGGACGTCGGGACAACGTTGTGTCACGCGACCAAACGTCGGGGCGCAACATCGGCACAACCTCGTGCCAACCCTAGTCTGCACTAGTTTGGAGAATAATTTTTGGGTCGAAACGACGTTGGATACCGACGTTGGCTAGAAGCCTAATTTAGTACAAACTACAACGTTGTTTAAAATGCTAATTCACAGAAATACAAAACTAATATGGCGTCTAAGTCGCGTTTTATCCTAAATTGGGATAATTATAGTAAAAATATTATTTTTATGATTTAGTTAGAGACATATGTCAGATGGCAGTGAAGGAAAACAAAACAAAAGTATTTAAGTGTGGAGGATGTTTGAAGATCATAATTATTGAAACACTTTAACCGACTCTGTAACTCGTTACCACCCAAGGCAAAAAAGTAAACGCAAACAACTTTATTGATAAATGTATTGTTTCTACTTTGAAAAATACTAATGGGCCTTAAAATTAAAGAAGTTTTAAAAATTTTCTTGAATTTTTTTTTTTTAGTAAAATGAGAATAATTTATTCGCAGTCGAAAAAATTGTTTCCGCGTGATTTTTAGGGTCAAATATTTCAAGTTAATGTATTCAAAAAGCAAGAATTGCTATTTTAGGAACGAAACATTTTCTTATTTAACAACATGGCGGCTTTCACTTTGTTGTTTTGGGAGATTAAGATGGAGTAGTTCGAGTAGTCGCATACTGGACTAATAAAGTCGCAGTTCAGCCTTAACAGGTAGTATACTAGTCGCAAGATTGCCTAATTTAGTCATCCTAGAGTCTAGCTTGTGCCGCCCTCTATAATCTAAATAAACGAGGGAGTGGATAAACTATCGGTAATATATGCCGATGTATATTTAAATTTAGTTTTATATGTACCTTTCTTATGTCCCATTTTAAATAAGTTTTTTTTATAAAAACAAAAACAGCACTGAACTGTCTGACTGAACAGAACAATGAAGTGAAAATTTAAGATTTAAGGTTATGGTTCAATACAGTTGCAAAAAGGTAGTGCCTCGACGTCCTACCAACGTAAGAATAAGGAAATCTAAACAACGTTGGAATAAGTAAAACAGACGACGTTTGCATAACGTTGGAATAGGTCCTGAACCGATGTCGGAAACCCCTATATTGTCCAACGTTGTAACTAACCGAATCACCTAAAGATCACTTAAGCAAAAAAGGTTACAAGACAACGTTTATTCGACGTCGCAGAAGCTTCTACTTTGCTGTAGTACTAGTCCAACGTCGGTACAACGTTATAAAAACGTTTAAATTTATTTTAATACCCAAGGTAGGGAGCTAACTATTTTTTGTAACTAATCCAACGTTGTGTTTTGTAAACATGTGGTCGCAAGTCGTGAAAATGCTACTTGGGACAAAAAGTAAAATAATTTAGCTACAAATTGATTAAAAAATTACCAAAATCGGCCTACTAGAACAAAATACATTAAACTTTAAAATACATCAAAATTTTAAGGTGTCCGTTTCTCGTGCCGGTGAGGGTATAATACAAACTGCCTTGAATTGAAAGTATAAAAATAAATCGGAAAATGATTGATCGTTGTAGTAATTTGGAAAGAGAAAATTGTAAAATTCGAGAGGTAAGAACACAGTAAGATGAAAAAAAGGCCGAAAAAAACGCAAAGCCAGTGAGTTGGACTCACATTGCTGCCTGAGGCCTGAGGGGTAGATCGATTTTGCTCTTGCGAGGGCGAAATTTCTGCGTGGAGAACCCTTTGTAGTTCTAGCACCTACAAGCCACATTAGACCAACTATACATCAAGCTACTTGTTGTTAGACACAACATTTACACCTGTATGTAGTAACAATGCGTCGTCTCTTTACAACTGAGGTCAGAACATAAATAATTAAAGATTTTATTACTTCAAAGTAAATACAGGGTGTTTCAAAAAACATGTACCATCCCACGTAAAAATAAGATTCTTCGTTTCGTAGCTACAGAGGAGTCTTCTTTTTTTTCGATTTATTATAATTTCCTTACAAGCGCCTGTAGCGTTTCGAATGACATTGTGGGATTCACAGGTTACTTTAAGGCCTGTATTCCGTGCGAAACCAGGCAAGCCAGACCAGAAAACTACGGTGAAGAGCGGTTCCTGAAAAACATCGGTTTGATACGGAACGGTTTGGTAAAATACTGGAAACGTCAAATGTTGACGTTTTCTTAATTTCAATACCTTTATTATAAAATTTATCTTTTATGCATTTTTAATGTACCTATTCTCTGCTTTTACGTTTGCTTCTTCTTTTCAATGGAGTTTAATATTAAAAAGTACTTTATCAATAAACTGTTTCGTTGGACAGCTCAAGTGAAGATTTGCAGGTCCAATATTAAAACAGGTCAATAATAAATAAACAAATCTAATTTATATTTTTATAGTTTACAAAACATTCACGATTACTTGTCTTGTTTTTCATGTTTTCTTTAAATGTTCCTGACTTTAAGAAACAATGGTTGCATGATAAGTTTAAATGGTCCTAAAAAGTCATTCTATTTAGTTAATGAAATTTATTTACCTTTACTGCCTACCTCCATTGCTTTTGGATGTAAATACAAAATATTATTAGAAATTTTAGAAATTAAATGAGAATTTCACTCGAACTTTCAATTTGTTTGATTTCTGTCACATAAATGACATTGATTGACAAACAAAAGCAGAAAAACCTTCTCGCGCTGGTTCTTTGAATAAAAAGACTAACGAAGGAGCATATCAAAAATCTTAGGTCCACCGCGATGGGACTCAAATATGGCCGACTTAAATTCCGGTTTATCAGTGCCGTTCTAATTTTATTTAAAAAGTGTAAAACTATGATGTAGTGTAGACGTGGGGTAGACTCAATAATTTGTTGTTTTATTTTACGTTGTGAATAAATATTGGTAGTTATTAAAATTGTTATAAAAACATATGACTATAATAAAAATAGATAAGTTTTAATAACTATTTATTAACACAAACATCCGATACGCTACTGAAGTTGACTACTGAAGCAGGTAAGTCAAATTGACGTATCTAAATTCTTTGACATGTAATCTTTGACAAGTAGTAAATAAAAGCAAAAATGCAAGAAGAATATATAATTAGTTAATTTAAGGGAATTTCATAAATGATCGGTTTACTACACGTATGTATATTATATAGTCACTTACTAGCGAAAAGTTGTTCCATTATTTCACTCGATTTATACCGAGATCTAATGCACGCTACACAACCAACTATTTCAGAGTCTTTTTCGATAAATCGCGACAGTATCACTGTTAATTTAAGTTCTGCCACAATTTCCATCTAGATTTACTACCTTTATACAACTATCAGTAGTAGACTAAATAATAAATAACATAAAATAAGCTCAGTAAAGACTGACAAATCCACAAAATTTCAAATCAAATTCAAATGTGTCAAATGAATCGTCAAACAGAACTATCCGCACCCTAGAGTCCTTTTTCCGCCCACCATGCATGAATACATGGATAGCATTATGCTCCTTCCTTAGTCTTCTTATTCAAAGCGCTGGTTAGTTTGGTGACAGTTGTAACCGAATTTTTCAGGAACCGTGTTCCGTAATAAGAAAACTTTTAGGAAACCGATAGAAACGGAACATAAAACCATAACCAAGGTAAGTAACGAAATACACCCTAATGACATAATTTAAGGTTAAAAAAACATGTGCGCCACTGACTCTCTTTCTCTTGTTAGGACAGTTGTGTAGGCCCTTTAAGGTCGATTAAAAATTGTATCTTGATATCTGGTCGATTGCGATCTCCTTGATGAGATAAACTAAATTTTTATTAATTACTAATTAACTTTCAATTAATAAAATAATAATAGAATATGTTACTAAATATTATAACACTAATGTTCAGTGCTACCTACAGTAAATTCCAAAAAAGTAATGATATTTAAGATAATTACAAAAGAAATATTTTTTAAAAGTTTTAACATTTTGTATGTTTAAAACTAGGCATTTCTTTTTTCATATTTTTTGATGAGGAATTTTATTACTTAGGAGTCCTAAGTCTATATTAGTACTCATAGACCGAGAGCTGGCTACATAAAAAACCTTATCATCGTTACATGGCTAATTTTTTGTGTGAAGTATCCTTTTGTGTAGCCATTGTGAAATATGGCTACACATTGTCATGTCTGCAAGCGCGATCCCGGGGCTTACAGCGGGGGCGGCCAATCAAAAGGGTGAAATTTTGACACTAAAAATATTATAAGGTGCACGAGTTATAATTGTCAAATAGCTTTTATTTATTATTAGGAAACGTGTAAAATTGTTGACAGACATTTTTCTCGTGGCTGAAATGCCGGCAGACAACGCGAAAGAGGCATAGAATTTTGACAAAAGAAAATCATCGCATACATACATGTCGGTTGGTGGAATGTCATGTTTATTGTTAATTAATTTAAAAAGCCGTATGCAAAAGGGCAGGCAAAAAAATCGTTATTGAAATAATAAAAAAATATATTTATAATATAATCGTATATTATATGATTTATCTAAATGGATGAGGCGGCCAGCGTTCCCTGAATAAAGCGCTAGAGTAATATCACGCTTTTGATAACTGTCTGCAGCTGATTGAGCCACGGTCTTTTTGTCTGCCCTTTTGCATACGGCTTTTAAAATAAATAAATATGACATTTCACCAATCGGCATGCAAATATGCCATAATTTTTTTCATTCTTCAAATTTAATTTTTTAATAATTTTTAAAATTTCATGCCTTTTTCGCGTTGTCTGTCGGCATTTTAGCGACTAGAAAAATGTCTGCCAACAATTTTCCACGTTTCTTAATAATAAATAAAAGCTATTTTCGCAATTATAACTCATGTATCTTTAAGCCCCCGCTTTAAGCCCCGGGATCGCGCTGGCAGACATGACTATTTCATAATGGCTACACAAAATGATACTTCACACAAAAAATTAGCCATGTAACGATGATAAGGTTTTTTATGTAGCCAGCTCTTAGACTATTATTTAATACTTCGGCTAGTTAACGGCATTAAAAAAAATAAGGTTGCTATTAAACTTGGAATAAGGCAGATTAATAAAATTGCGTTTGTCTCATCAAAATATATTGAAAGACAACTTGTAATCGACATTAAACGGTCTACACAATTGTCCTAACAAAAGAAAAAAGTCAGTGGCGCCGCAGTTCCTTTTTAGCAAAATATTCTAGTGATAACCCATATGCTAGTGATGGGTTGTTATTTAACTATCTGTTATTTTATAACAATTATTTATAAATAACATATCGCAACCGTTACTACTTCTAAAAAATAACAGATATAAAATAACGACACGTAGAGATCGGCCGCTCGTGAAACGAAAAACGAAGTCGGCGCTCTGCACCGTCACGAAATTCTCTGCTGCTCGAACCAATTTCAAAAAACAACTTGTATGGATGGAAAACATGTTATTTCGTCAACCATCGATACAGGCGGCGAGACAACGGACAACGGAGTGGGGAATGCGCTACGGCAAACGTAGCTGCTTCGGTCGATACCGTCTATGGTCGTATTGGGTTTGCAACAGCTTAAAAATAATAGGATATAAAAGAAGCAGGTTTTTTTGAAACAGTTGAGTGGGAAAAGAACGCATCGGTCGATTGTCGATGGAGACTCGCAACGGGTTGGAGAAGCAGTCATTTTAGATACGTTGTTTTTCAACCTGTTACGAGCATAACAGGGCGGTGGTCGAGATAATCGGAGTGGGAAAGGAATGCTGCTGCATCGGTCGATTGCCGATGGAGGTTCGAAACAGTTTGGAGGAAACAGGAAAAAACGGTTAGTCTTTCGGGAAAACGCCTGGACACGCATAATTTATTTCGTTTTTTTACATATTTTGAAATTTTTTCAAAAATCATACAGGGTGTTCCAAAAAGTTGAGTAATTGATTAACCACGATTCTGCTTAAACTGCTCGACGTTTAAAGCTTATTTTTGGCACATGAGAGAAAATTTTATCCAGTCTGTATGTTAATGGAAATTCTTGTTTTGCTTTATCATCACCATTAGAAATTATTAATTTGACGCGAACGAAGTCGCGGGTACACGCTAGTTTAAGTGTAAAATAAATTCGAACTCTAGTGTGTAGTTGGTTTACTTATGAAGAATATACTACACATTTTCTTATATTGCTATTTTTTGACCGCAAATGGTAAAATCATAACTAAGAGCTTCTCGCCTGTCGAGTGAGATGCACCCTGTACACTGCTACGCAATTCAAGATCTACGCGGATCGAGGGGCAGGGCGTAGGTAGATCGGAATGTATAGGTATAGACGAGTGGCGGAATTTTGGCTTTTTTTATATCGCAATTTGTAAACAGCGCTTATTTGTAAACAACCACCGTTTTTAGAGAGGTATTTTAGATAACAATCGATATTTAGAAATGTTTGGACACCCTGGAAATACTACCACTGAGCACGTCATTGTTGCAACTTGCAACTTAATACGCCTGGCGGTGACCGCCTCATACTCTTTTAGATATTTAGCAGTAAAATAAAGAAACCTGTTATTTTTAACTGTATCAACTGTTATTTAAAAATAACAGTTTTGCCCATCACTACCATATGCACGTCCTTGGGAAATCTGTCGACACAATTTTAGAATTAAAATATGTGACAATTTTAGTAAGTTTTACCCTCAAAATGTCATTCAAATCGCTACAAGTACTTTTTTAATGCGAAGAATCTCCCCATGAGAGCTGGCACACATTGTTTGAAAGACCT